ATTAAAATGTTACAAATTATTGTCAGGACTCTCATCAGATTCACTGGGAGGGATCTGTATTCTATTAAAAGGGCAGCGGAACAAAAGGCTGCTCTCTGCACAAAGTCGAATGCATAACCTCTGACTACAACCATTACAATGGAAAATTGTGGTCCACAGAGGATATCACTGAACTCACTGACTCCAGCTCCCTGACTCAGTGTGAGTCAAGTACCCTCAGGTTTGCTGCAAAAAGATGAAACCAGAAATTGGTAAGTTTCATGTATTTCACGTAATATATCAATAGTTAATAATAATAATAATCCTTGCATTTGATATAGCGCGTTTCACGTCGGGAGGACGTCCCAAAGCGCTTCACAGAACACACTGTAAAGTGAATTGACTGTATATTTGTGGGCGAACGCGGCAGCCAATTGCGCACAGCAATGTCCCACAAACAGTCGTAGATTGAAAATGATCAATTTATTATTGTTTTTGGTTTTGGAGGGATTATTATTAGGCTCTGTGTGGAGTAAGGAAACTTGCCCAAGGTTTCGCCCTGCCTGGAATTGAACTCAGTTCTCTCGCTTGCAAAGCGAGTGCTCTAACCACTGAGCTACAGGACTCCACAGCTATAGGACTCCATAGTTACATATATCGTTGAGACACTGGAGCAGTCAGGAGCAGAAAAATACAATCACTATTTCTCAGTACATTAATGCAGCATTTATTCAAAGTTACTTGAGTTTACAACGATCCCTGTAGTTTTTGACAAGTGTGGTGTGCACATGGAATTAGATATCTTCCCAATAATTCTGAGTACTGTAACTGTCAGGTCAAGATTGTTAAAACCTAAGCCAATCCTCAGTGGTTGTACTGAGGATTGGCTTAGGTTTTAACAATCTCTTCCAAAAGGTTGTACAAAACAGTACCCATTGCCTTTGTTCCTCCGGGTCTGGCCTCTTCCTCGTCCCCTGAGTCCTCTGCTCCACCCTCGGCGCCCGTGCCTTCAGCCACTATGCCCAGAGGCTCTGGAACTGCCTTCCTCACTCCCTTCGTCTCGCTCCCTCCCTTCGCATTTTCAGTTCTCTGCTGAAGATCTTTCTTTTCGACCGCGCCTTTGGTCACCTTCCTCCCCCTCCCCCTGGCTCAGCCCCGGGATCTGTTTCTGAGACGCCGTCCAGCATGGAGGGCGCTATATAAATCCAAGTTGTTGTTGTTGTTGGTTCTTTATCACCCCATGGGAAGTTAACAGGTTTTCGCATTTCAGAATGATAGATATATACATTGAGGTATAATCTTAAAGGGATAATCTTAATAAGGAATCAGATGTCAGCTTAGCTCAATTGATAGCACTCTTGCCCCTGAGTCAGAATCTAAGGTCTGCTCAGCACTGAATCTGCCTCTGATCCATATATAATTGTATAATTCAGGAAATCCCTAGTTGTCTCTGTTTCTATTTAAACCATTTTCAATCTTTGCAACTAACAAATAAGCACACCAAAAATTAAGACCTCCTGCCGCCATCCAAAAGTATTAAAACAAATTAAATATTATCAATCCTGCACGCATTCATTCTTCTTTGAAATACATTTGCAAAATAAAAGAATAAGCTATGGAAATTGAAAGGAATTTTAATGTTGATACATCTATGGTTATGCACATTGAAGTAGGAAACAATAAACAAATGCAAGGATTATTATAACATAGTTACAAAATGACTAGAATTCCTTCAACAAAGGTGAAAATAAAAGATTTGGGTGGGATTATGGTGATCAATTTAGAATGGCTCTCCAATGCAGTGTTGGGAGAGCATCGTAATGTTGGAGGTGTTTTCCATTGGATGAAAAGTTGAACCAAGGTTCAGTTTGCCTGTTTAGTTGTTAATAAAGATCCCATTGCACTATTCGAAAAAAAAGAGGGAGTTTCTCCCGGTGTCCTGACCAACAGTTTCTCAAATTGGTTATTTACTTTACTGTTGTTTGTGGGACATGGATGTGCACAAATTGATTGTAATGTTCGTCCACAAAATACAAAACACACTTTACCATGAATCCTGTGATGTGAGGTGGAGGTTGCATTTGAAAGTGAGGACAATTCAAAACATTAATGTATTTTTCTCCTTCAGAGGTTGCTGGACTTCCAGCATTCTAGCATTTCTATTTTTTTATTAGGTTCCAATATTATTCTTCCATCTTCAAGACAGGAGATCAACTCCTGCACAAAATCTCTTCTGTATGATGTTACAAAATGGTTTGGCAGAATCACAACTGCAAATGCCCACTTTTATTTGCAAACGTCCCCCACCTTGCCCACCCCACCATTGGCAGTCAGACGTTCAGCCTCTCTGCCCCCACCCTCTGGAAATCCATCCCACAGTCCTTCCGCCTCTTCCGCTCCCTTGCCTCCTTGAAGACTCTCCTCTTCAACTGTGCCTTCATTCACCCTCCTACTCCTACCCTCCCCGCCCTCAACCACTCCTGATCCCAACCATTGCAAAAGGGATTAAGGGATTTGGGGATAAGGCAGGGTTATGTTATCAGCTGGAGTTAGATTAGAAGATCAGCCATGATTGAATGGCGGGGCAGGCTCGAAGGGCCGAATAGCCTACTTCTGCTCCTACATGTTATGTTATGTTATGTTATGTTATGTTATGTTATGTTATGTTATGTTATGTTACGTTATGTTATGTTATGTTAACCACTAGCTCGGGTACAGATCCCTAACTGTCCAGCACTTTGGGACGTTCTCCTGACGTGAAAGGCGCTATACAAATGTAATTTGTCCTGTGGAGTCCTGTAACTCAGTGGTTGGAGCGCTCGACTTGCAAGCGAGACACCTGGGTTCAATTCCAGGCAGGAAGAAACCTTGGACAAGTTTCTTACTCCACATGCCTATAATAATCCCTTTAAAACAAAACAAAAAAAATAATAAATTGGTCATTTTCAATCTACGACTGTTTGTGGGACACTGCTGTGCGCAATTGGCTGCTGCGTTTCGCCCACAAATATACAGTCAATTCACTTTACAGTCTATTCTGTGAAGCGCTTTGAGACGTCGAGAAGACATGAAAGTGCTATATCAATTGCAAGGATTATTATTATTATTATAATTTGTTGTTGTTATTTGGCATTTACTTGATACAAAATTAGTGGGATCTAACGTATGGTATTTCTTAACAAATAATCCCATTGGAATTCTCTTCCACTAGGTAGGAATACTGCTTTGGAATTAAATAACATTGGAGTGGATTTTCAAGAGTCAGCCTGGCATATTCCTCTGTAGCTGAAGGAGTTCCCTATTCCATTACTTGGTATTCTTATTGAAGAATCCCATTAAGAAATGTCACATTTTAGACTTCAATCATTGACAGCCTGAGGCTGAGAGGTCACGTGGCAGTCTCGTGATCTAAAATACAAGAGTCACACTCGTATTTTGAGGCTGAGGTAAAGGGAATAATTTAGGGTGATGTTACTGTGTTTCTTACCCAAGCTAAACCTGAACTGTATGTCAGTACATATGCTGACAGTAGATATAAAATCTCACAAGGATTCTCTAACACTGTGGCCTTTTATTTTGATAATCATAGACACACACACATACGCACAAAACATAAATGACAAAATAGTGTGGAAAAAAAGAGAGAAGCAATTCCTCTATTTTGGAATTACTACAACAAATGATGAATTAAAAATCACAAGTCACTGTTCAAATACAACAGCAACATTTGTAAGCGGAGGGACTGCGGGATGAAGTTCCAGAGGGTGGGGGTACAGTGGCTGAAGGCCTGCCCGACAATGATGGGACGGCGAGCAGGAGGGTGTGAAGCAGGCCGGAGTCTGCTGAGCAGAGGGAGCGGGCAGGATGGTAGGGGGTTAGGAGGTCACAGAGGTAGGGGAGATCAAGATCATGGAGGGCTTTGAAGGTGAGGACCAGGATCTTGAACTGTATCCTCTGTGTGATGGGAAGCCAGTGGAGTCGCGCGCTGTTGCGGAAGTGCGGGAAGGCAGAGCGGGTCATGGTGTGGATATGGGGTAGAAAGGATAGTTTAGGATCAAACAAGATGCCAAGGTTCCGGACTGACTCAGTGAGGTGGAGTGTGCATCTTTGGATAGTGATGCTGTCAGCGTCTAAGGTGAGAAGACGCTGAAGGGAGTCAATCAAAAAGGCCTCGGTACTGGAATCAAGGGTGGAGGCAGAGAGATAGAGTTGGGTGTCATCTGCATACATGTGGAAGTTGACCCCATGTCTGTGGATGATGTCACCAAGAGGGAGCATATAGATGTTGAAGAGAAGGGGACCAAGGACAGAGCCCTGAGGAACACTGCACGAGATGGTCCGAGGGCTAGAGGAGAGAAACTACATAACTAAATGGTATATGTGGCATTTAAAATATTTATATTTAACAGTGGTTGTGGGAACAACCAACAAACAATCAGATTGGGTGAGGATCTAAATCCCTGATCCATTTTCAGCCACAGAATTATATCTGGGTGACCATCTATTCATACATTACAATAAATCTAGATTTAACCTCCACCTTTCAAACCACACCTCCAGATATGTATATGCAATTACTTTGGATGCCTGAATACATGGATCAAATCAAGTCCATCACAGGAGTAAGTGGGAGTTCACTCCATTGTATACACATTTTAAAAAAATCACTTAAAAGGAACTGGAGAACAGGAGCCTCAATTGAAGCAATTCAAAGACGTTGTTGTTATAATAATAATAATAATAATAATAACAATAATAATCCTTGCATTTGATATAGCGCTTTTTACATCTTCGAGACGTCTCAAAGTCCTTCACCAAATATACTGTAAAGTGAATTGACTGTAATATTTGTGGGCGAAACGTGTTGTGGATTTTGGACAGCACAATAATAAAATCAAGCAGGATGTCACTTCACCTGCAGTTCTAATGTGTTGCTGCCGATGTGGTGGGCTGATTGCCTCCTCTGGTGCTATATTTATCGATCTCTCAGGCCATAAAAGGTCGGGACTCTGGCTCTTACATTCCACTGACGGGAGACATTATTTTTGTACCGGACCCTGTAGACCAGTCTGCAGCCTTCTTCCTCTGTAGCTTTGGTTGATTCATCTGGCTGGGCTTTCATTCTGACATTTAGTTTAAGGCTTTCACATTGGTAAGTCCTCTTGATCACTTGTTCACTTTCAGCAGAAGCTTAGGGAATCTTCACGCTTTATTTTGTTTGTAAAAATTTAAGTTCCTGGCATTAGTTAATAAGATTTTAACCACCTCTCAGTGCACAAGTTAACACTTGATATTGGTGCAGAAACACCAGAGGCTTTGGGGAGTTTTAAGCTGTTGCTTGGGTTAAGCTAGTTATATAGTTAAAAACAGTTTAATTGTCTTATGATTTTATTATATATGTCTTTAGTTTTGAAACTGAAGTTAATGCAGGTTTATTTTTAAACTAGAGGTATTGCATTTAGTTATTAAAACCTCAGCCAGAAATAATCTCTGCCCGGATCTTAAAACAGTTGAAGAAGTTGTGATGTTGTACCTCAAGTGGAAACTCTAATATAGTTTTTATTTTGTTACATTTGCAATAAAACTAGTATTTGCAACAGCACTTTGCTATCCACATTGGTGTTAGTGAGGATGATACCATTGAATTCAAACAGATCGGATTATTTAGATGCCTTCAGGTCATTGCAATCCAACTTTGTGGTTAGATTGTGTTTCCCTAAGATGTTTAAACCTCTGCGGCATTCAGAATTTATTTAAAGCACTGTACTGCACGCCTACAGTACATTATGCGTTATTTGCAATTAAATTTTGATGACATGTCTGAAATAATAATAATCCTGCATTTGATGTTTCAGTGTGGCCTCTAAATCAAAATATGGGAGCTGTCACTTTACCATTTGCCCTGATCTGGTATTGTCCAAAAAGAAAACCAAGGTGGGGGGGAAAGTCAGCATATATAACATTGCATTAAAGTCCATTTTGCCCACAAAATATACAGTCAATTCACTTTGCAGTATGTTCTGTGAAGCGCTTTGAGATGTCTTCAAGATGTGATAAGGTGCTATATCAAATGCAAGGATTATTATTATCATTATTCTCCTATATCAAATGCAAAGATTATAATTATCATTTATGCAGCCTGATAGAGATAGCTAGATTTGTATTGCTTGAAAGATGCCCTCGCCCCATGAGAGTATTTGATACAAGCCAAAGTTTCTCAAACTATGGAGTGCGCCTCAGTGAGGGGGGGAAGGGTGTGGCTCGGGTGCTTAATCCAACACCCAGGTTTTACGGGACTGACCCCACATCCCAGCAAAACTGCTCCCCTGACAACCAAACCCTGCAGCAACGGTTCCCGCCACAACAATTCCTGCGACAACAGGGAAGGCGGGGAAGACATCCAGATTGATCAGAGGTCGGCAAGTCAATGGCAGGCCCTGGTCTGAATCTGGCCACCAATCAAAGTGCAAGGTGGGAGGGAGCGGGCAGAACCACGAGATAATAATAATCCTTGCATTTGATATAGCGCCATATCACGTCTTCGAGACGTCTCAAAGCTCTTCACAGAATATACTGTAAAGTGAATTGACTGTGTATTTTGTGGGCCAATTGCGGCAGACAATAACGCACAGCAGTGTTCCACAAACAGTCATGGATTGGGATAACACAAAAGGTGCTTTATGAAATAAAAAATTGTACTTTTAATACTTATACTCTTATTATAACTATATTGATCAAAGCTCTTCTACATTATTACCAGTACTGTGAGCCTAAGTAAACTATGGGAGGTGTAATTGTTTTTTTTCTTAGCTCAGGGAGGCTCAGTATGATAATATTTGAGAACCCCTGATCTTTGCAATTGCACGTTGTGAAGGATTTATTGCTGATCACTTATTTTCTGTCTGAACAGTGCCAGAGATTTGGGACGAGGCAACACTTGACTGAGTGGGAGAAGCCGGGATACTAGGTGTACATCATGTCCTCCATGTCTTTACCTTTCTACCAGAAACACCATCGGCACTATGACCGTGGATATCGCAGTAGCGAGCTGCAGTCCACAATGCGAGAGTACCACCAGGAGGAGAAGCGCAGTAGTGCAGCCCACTCTTACGGGTAAGGCATGGGCCAGTTCATACCAGTGCTGACAGCTCAGTAATGCAGATTTTACAAATTTCTACTGGACGAGAGGACATATGTTTCACTCAGCTCAGCGTCTGACACGTGGAAACCTATCACCATGCTTAACGGTATTCAAACCAGTTCCATACCCACCTAGGCATGGAAATATTGATGCATCAGGAATGGAATTTGCACTCTCTCCCCAGAGGGACACAGCCTGCTTTAACCAATTATGAAGAATATTAGGCTTAGGATGGGGAGAGCCAAGGCATGGGGACCCCAGAGTATGCGTGGCGGATACCACTAGAGGTTAACCAGGTCAGGGAATTCAGGGAAATCCGAGCCAAAAGAAAATGCCACTTGCAAATACCTGCAGGTGTAAGTTTGCAAAAGTCCAATTGTTTCTAGGCAACTTCTGATACTCAGGATTCCAGTGTGTAATATAAGCAGGAAGGTTATTGCAGTACCATCAGATTCAAGCTGCTTTGGAATCAGTTTTAATGGAACCAGTACAGAACGAGCTTGCGATTTAAACAGAGCATGAGATTACTTAACCTGTGTACATGTGGGAGCTGAATTCAGTGCTGGGTGTGCTGCTCCTTCAAGTGAAACATTGAACCGAGGTCCCATCTCCCTGTTCAGGTGAATGTTAAAGATCCCATGACGCTGATTGAAAAGAGAAAGGAGTTTCTCCTGGTGTCCTGGCCGACAATTCCCAAAATAAAATTGGTCATTCACTTTACGGCTGACATTGCTGTGCCTCTAAATACACAGTTACTAAATTTCACTGTAAAGAAGTGTTTTGAGATGTCTCAACCACATGATAAGGTGCAGTATCAAATGCAAGGATTATATTATTTTGTTATTGTGAAACTGAGTTGCAGAATGAATGGTTCAATGGCTGTGAACAATTTGGTAGTTCACTATTTGTATTCAGAATTAATAAAATAGGGCACAGTCCTGCTAAAGCAATATAAGATATATGAAGAAAGTGAAAGCCAGAGAAGGTTTTAAAAAAAACTCCATCATTTTACTCTTCCATTTCTGGAGAAAGTACTTCATGCTGGTGTTCCACAGAGAGCACTCTGTAGTAGAGGTCACTGAATTGAAATCATAATTGGGAATCTTGACAATTCTGCCTCTAAGCCAAGAAATGATTCTGGGCCCATCCTTTCAGAGTCTGTCAAAGTCACACCACACAATAAATTTTGTATCAGAAATATAGGTGAAGTTCATGGACCAAGAGTGCAGAATGTCACCGAGATTGAAACGAGAGAAACAAGGCAATAAACAAGACAAACAGGATGCTGGGCTGAACTATCAGTCGAGTTTAGATCCCCAGATGGCACAGCACAGGGCTCTGGTCCGGATGAGATCAGATGGACTGAAGGGCCTTCTTTGGCCTTTATGATCTTGTAAAACAAGATAAATGAAGAAACAGAGGTTGAGGTATGCCAGGTATCGACTTGAAAAGCTTTTAAGTTTCTAGGAGGAAGATAAGACAGAGCGATGTAAGGAGTTCCACAACATCAAAGCCTTGGAAAAGAATGATGGCGAGTAGGAGATGGTGCCATCAGTTTTGATTTCAACACAGTGAGGATTCAAGGAAAGGAGAAGTGTATAATAATAATAATAATAATAATCCTTGCATTTGATATAGCGCTTTTCACGTCGGGAGGACGTCCCAAAGCGCTTCACAGAACACACTGTAAAGTGAATTGACTGTATATCTATGGGCGAACGCGGCAGCCAATTGCGCACAGCGATGTCCCACAAACAGTCGTAGATTGAAAATGACCAATTTATTATTGTTTTGGGTTTTGGAGGGATTATTATTAGGCGTGTGGAGTAAGGAAACTTGCCCAAGGTTTCGCCCTGCCTGGAATTGAACCCAGGTCTCTCACTTACAAAGCGAGTGCTCTAACCACTGAGCTACAGGACTCCACAAGGAATATAGGGACAGTCCAAATCTCTGACTGTCCAGTGCCATGGGGACGTCCTCACCACGTGAAAGCGCTATACAAAAGTAATTGTGTATTGTATTTGTAGATTGGATGGAATAAGCGAATGTTGTTCAGCAAAGGAGCAAGGATCTTTGTACTATTGATAACATGGAAAGTAAAAAGAAAGGTTGTATTAGTGAGAGAGATTGGGCCATGCTCAAGTGCTTGTTCCTGAATGAGTCTATGTAATGAACAATGGCAGTACACTTTAATTTCTCTGAAAGTTGCTTTGTCAAATGGAAGGATTATTATTATCATTATTATTAAGAATAATAATCATCATCCTTGCATTTGATATTGCTTTGCAATATTACATATAATAATAGCATTAGGTTTTCTGAATAGTACAAATAATTACCCCCCCCCCCCACCCTTTTGAACCTCTGATAAGATTAATTCAACTCTACAGAGCCTCACAATAGAATGTCTTCAAATGTAACACATTTTTTCTAAGAAAAATTGAGATTCTCCAATAAGCCCAAGATTGACCGTGTCTCATCTGCTCTTAGCTGAATCAATCAATCATTCCACCACATTATCTTTTCTCCAACATCAGAGAGAATTATTTCAGTCTGTTTGCCCTCTGGTTATTCTTGTCCAATTAATTTAGTTGCATCGTTTCTCTCTGTCAACCCTCCATAAATAATTTTATTTTCCTTGAAGGGTCTGCCTACTACTATAAATATAAAAGCTCTCAACTTCAGGCAGCTTTGTACTGAATCCTGATGTCACTTCTCTTGCGAGTGTAAGATAATGAATATGCTGACCTGGCATCAACGTGTGTCCATTTTTTTGTCGCCTTGCAAGCATGGGTGTAGCGTTAGATACTGGAACCGCTCCTTAGGTCATGCAGCGTTCAACTTGATCAGCAGCTCACTCCTCACTCTGTTTGGCATCTCTTTGCTGAGATTTCCATATGGCAGAGGACAATAAATTAGGTTTATACATGTGTCCTGCAACAGATGTATCCCTTGATTAACTATATTATTCAGAAACTGAATGTTAAAATATGCCATGTGTGTTGCTTTGGTCTGGTATTTAAAGACAGGCTCAGGATTGACCACTGCCCCCACACCCCCCATCAACATCTGGACGATGGTTTCCCCTTCAACCATTTCAGCTTCATTTTTAACCTATCAATGGGTTTGATTTTTGAATCCCAACTCTAAGAATGATGTTTCTTTAACTTCAATCTTTTACTTTCATAAATATTTTTGAGCCACTACCAGGTGAAGAACAATTAAAATCCACAGTCTTCCTGGTCTGATTCAAGATTTTTTTTCCAATTGGAGGGCTGATCTGACGTGGTGCTGAGCCATGCAGAGTTTTGATGCTGAGTTTTTGCTGAGCCAGCTGATTTCAGCCAGAGCGATGACAGAGGCTCCATAGTTGGCCTTCCCATTGGCATGATTGGCCGTTCCCTCTATTCAGCAAACACCAGCCTGCTTTACGTCCCCACCAGATCTGCCCCACGGTTGGTGGGCCAGCTTTCAGACATTCTGCACCTATTCTCTGGAACTGTACCCCAAAGTCCCTCCATCTTGCCCCCTTCATCCATGCTTTCAAAACCTGCCTTGACCTATGTCTTTGATTACATTTTCCATCTGCCTTTCTCCTTCCCCCCCAACCCCTGACTCATCCAGCTGGCCTATTCACTCTATTTATGCTCCCAGTCAGTTGTATGAAGACATCCTCCTCACTTGAAAATGTAAATAGTTTTTTTTTAGTCAGTGTTTCTGTTCCTCATGAATATCCAGCAACCTCTTGTGGAAGGTGCAGGTTACCGGAGTGCTCAATGATTAGTTAGTGTAGAGTCCTACCCTGGAGTATTGCTTTAAGAGGCAGTAAAATACAGACCGATAGATTCTATAAATGGCTGCTGGACTGAACAGCTGTAGTTTTATTCTTGGAAATGCCCTCAGCTGGAAAAGTGTAAAAAAGCTAAGTGGTCTATCATAGCCAATTGCTAAAAATAGCAATCTTTTCATTACGTTTTAGGATCAGTGTTTTTGTTGCCTTGCGTCACTATGTACGATTGGTCTCATGCATACAACATAAAATAATCGCAGTAATGAATCCTACTGTAATTTTGTTGTTATTACAGAGTGAGATCTTCCAAATATTCAGATGAAATGGTAGAAAGCTTCCCGGGAAGCCCCCTTTTGAAGCGGGCAAAGCAGAACTATGAGGGGAAAGAGAATGAAGTAACCGGCTATGTTGTGCCCACCTTCAGAGGACGGTATGTCCAATTGTTTACAAGGAGATATGTATTTGAGGAGAAAATAAAGAGTGTATTATGATTTGAATCAAAGATATTACAGGAGGTGTACAGGAAGAGGCCATTTGGCCTATCAAATCTAAGCTTGTACTGTTCATCTATGGGAGCTAACTACTCTAATTCGCTGTTCTTTCCCTTTTACCATTGCAAATCTTTATGCTATTCAGGTTTACGAATCTTAACACAGTTGGTAACCTTTTTGACCAGAGCAGTTTCTGACCACTTCTCTTATTCTATGTTTCAGTGAGCTAGTGTCTTGACAAGTGATTGCACTGAAGATATGTTTTCACACAGCATCCTCTATAGGGTAAAAACAGTAAATCAGGATCAAACTATATAGTTTTAGTGGAGCAGTTAGCACTAGCATACTGTCCACAAAGTTTTGCTCTTCTCTTCGACGTGACTTTTGTTCTTCCCTTTTACCCTGCTCATCCTTCTCTGCTATCTGTTTCCCTTCTTGTGTTAAGAAGTTTAGCACAAGCATAGGTTTGATGGACCAAATAGTGCTATAAATGCTATGAATTTTAGATAATTAGCTACATAATCTGTGGATAATTGTCACGTACATGCATTCAATCCACAATTGTCTTTAGATGTAGAGCTACACTTTGAAGGTGTTTTGGACACTACAATCTGAGAACTCACAAAATATTTATTTTACAACAACTTGCATTTATATTGCATCCTTCATGTGGAGTAACATCCCGGAGCGCTTTTAAAGACCCAATTGAGCTCTTCAATAGCATTGAAATACCAAACTCCCTAAGGACAAATCTTTGAAATCAGGTACTTGTGTCTATTCAGCTATGATTCAAGGTGATGTGCAGAAAGAAGTATAAATCAGGCTCCCTTATCCAATTCTGATAACTGGGATAAATTACTGAAATAAATCTCTTCCAGCATATAGAGCTCCATCCAAATCACTCGCAAGACTAGTTATTAATGATTTGTTTACAATATGTCAACTGAGGAAGAGCAGACTGACATTTGTCTTCTTATTGAGAAACAAGTGATCGAACAAAGTCCGTAGTGCAATAAATTGACAGGGTTAAGACGAGTAAGTTAGAAAATGAGATAAGTCAACAAACAACAACAACAACAACAACAAGATTCCATTTATAAAGCGCCTTTCACGTCAGGAGGACGTTTCAAGGCGCTGCACAGTTGGGTCATGACCCGAGCAGGGGGGAAATGGTCAGGGTGAGGGGAGGGAAGGGAGGGAGCGAGGAGGGGGGAAATGGTCAGGGTGAGGGAAGGGAAGGGAGGGAGCGAGGAGGGGGAAGAGAGTCGAGAGGGGAGCTGAAGGCTCGGTCAAAGAGAAAGGTTTTGAGACCGGCCTTGAAGGAGGAAAGGGAGGAAGCAAGGCGAAGGCACTGGGGGATAGAGTTCCAGAGCCTAGGGGCTGAGAGGCTGAAAGCCCGACCACCGATGGTAGGGCGATTGGGGCGGGGGACGTGGAGCAGACCGGAGCCAGAGGAACGGAGGGTACGGGCAGGTAGGTAGGGGGATAGTAGGTTGGAGAGGTAAGAGGGAGCAAGGCCGTGAATGGCCTTGTAGGTGAGGATGAGGATCTTGAAATCAATCCTCTGGGGGATGGGGAGCCAGTGCAGGCGAGCGAGGGTGGGAGTGATGTGGTCCCGAAGCCTGGTGCGGGACAGTACACGAGCTGCAGAGTTCTGAATGACCTGCAGCTTGTGGAGGGAGGTGGTGGGAAGGCCGGCGAGGAGAGAGTTCCCATAGTCCAGCCTTGAGGTGACAACCAATGTGGGTTTTAATTATATGAGAAAGAGAATTGCATTTAAACTGAAGAGTTTCAATAATAAACCTTGCTTTTGGTATTCAACATATTTGAGTCCCTGATAAACACTGAGCTACAACAGGAGACAATGCAAGGAATCTTCTGTAGCTCAGTGATTAGAGCACTTGCCTTGCAAGCAAGAGACCTGGGGTTGATTCCCGGTAGAGCGAAACCTTGGACAAGTTTCCTTACTCCACACGCCTGATAATAATCCTCAAGAAAAAAAACAATAAGAATTTGGTCACTCAATTCATAACTGTTTGTGGGACACTGCTGTGTGCAATTGGCTGCCGAGTTTTGTCCACAAGTATACAGTCAATTCACTTTACTCTGCATATTTTGTGAAGCGCTTTGAGACATCTAGAAGATGTGAAAATCCCTACGTTAAATGCAAGGATTATCATATTATTATTATTATTTGTATATGCATGCAGGGAGGAGAGAAAAGCAACAACAACAACAACATTACATTTATATAGCACCTTTCCACGTTGGAAGGATGTCCCAAGACAATAGAAGCATGTAGGGTAGCATTTATGGAGCTTAGAAGGAAAAAAATATAAAATATATAATAACAAGCATTTATATAGTGTCTTAGAGCACTTACATATGATAGCTCAGCGAAGGTACTACCAAAGTAGTATCCATAATAATAACAGAAAACGAGCAGAGAGGATGGAGGTTAGGTTTGAGAAACGAATCACAGTTGGGTGACAAATCTCTGCTAGTATTCTATTCGGGAGGACAACACAGATGCTTGATGGACTATCCCAAATATTGAAGCAGTATTCAAAACTCAGTTGGACTTGGACATTTTTGAAAGTTAGGAATTATTGAGTGAGGAAATAGTGATGTGCATAATGAGGAGATTGAGTTTCATGGAGACAACTTTGGAAATGCAAATGGGAGATCCAATAGGGTTCACAAGTTACAGCAAGATCAAGAATGTTGATCGATAACATTAAGAATAGAACTATCTAAGTTAAGAGGTGATGGATAAATTTGTGAGATAAATAGGGAAATTATTATGTAGTTTAGGACTCAATAGAAAGAGGATTATTGAAGGCTGTGAAGGAAAATCAGCCAATGCTTTCATCTGTGAGAGGGTGAAAGTTCTGTTATAGACTAGAATCATCAGCAAAACAGTGGATGGTGTTAGATGATGAGAGGCGGGTATTAATGTGGAGAAGAACACATTGGAAGAGAGAATCAAGCTCTCTCAACCCCCCAATTGATAAAAGAGTCAGATAACAGACTATTAACTGTGGCATAGATCAAATTGAGAGGAAAATAGACAACTTAAGTAGAAGAGCAGAAAAAGGTAACTTGTCCTTCCTACCCCACATCCAGGCCCTGACTTGGGGCACTGTCCTCCACCTGTATCACATTGCCCACCTCCAACTGTACCTCACACTCAATGTAGTCAAAACCTTTGTCAACTCCCGCCTTGATTATACCAATGCTCTCCTTGCTCCATTATCCTCAAAATCCAACTCATTCAGAATTCCGCTGCCTGTATACTCACCTGCCCTAAACTCTGCTCCCATCACACTAGTCCTTGCCAGGCTACACTGGCTTCCTTTCACAGAACAGATTGACTTCAAGATCCTCACACTCGACTACAAATCCCTTCATGCCCTGGCACCTCCCTATCTCTCTGAACTGCTTACTCACCATCGCTGCTCGGCTGGCTCCAGCTTCATACTTGTTCCTTGTTCTCTCTGCTCCACCATCAGTGGCTGTGCTTTCAGCCCCTACACCCTGAAACTCTGGAACTCTCTCCCTCAATCCTTCTGTTTTGCCCCCTCCTTCCCCATTTTCAGTTCACACCTGAAGACGTTCCTCTTCAACATTACTTACAGTCACCTCCCCTCTATTCCAGGCTCATTGTCTGCACTGTTAAGCGCTCCAAAGCCTACCCCACGTGAAGGGCACTAGATAAATGCAAGTTGTTGTTTAGAATTCACAGTGCCAGACACTGTCAAAGGTCTAGGAGATATCTAAGACAATGACAAATGACTCACCAGTGTTCAAGAGTAGCAGTCAAGAGATATGTAACATAGATAGGAAGATCACCAATGCAGCAGTCATACTGAAAACCCTATATGCAAACATGGATCAGGCCAGAATTGTCAAGGTGATGGATAATGTGAGAGGTAACAGCAGCATTCATCAGTTTTTCCTACCATGTAAGTGCATCTTCCATGCACTGAGCTATTTTGTTTTGGTTAGCCGGGTGTCTGCCACATACGGGAACTTATCACTATACTAAAGAGTATCCAAACCAAACTAAGAGTTCCATGCTTCCTCCCTATGCATAGAAATTCCAGAGATATTTATTGGAATGGAATGCACACTCTCTCCCTGGAGGAACGCATCCTGCTTTCCTAATACTGGACAATATTAGGTGCAGGATGGCAAAAGCTAAGGCTTGGGGGAACCCCAGAGTCTGTTGGGGTACTGCTGGAGTTTAACCAGCTAAAACTGCATAGAAAGCAAGCTGTCTCACTCCTGGTCTAGCTCGGACCACCCTGCCTATTAGGGCTTTGGCTTGCAGGGTTAACAGGAGCTGAGCGGGAAGTGTCCCTTTCCTCAGTGGCTGATCTGTCCCTCCAAGTCCTGTTGATGAGCCAGACAGGCTGTGCTGTCAGCAGCAGTATCCTGGAATACTACAGACCCGCCTGGCTCAGGAACTGGACTACTGAGACCACTACAGAGGGTTGGCTCGATTCTGACATTCCATTGCTAAACATGTCAATTTAGAAACCCTGCTCATCTACCCCCCCACCCCCCCCGCAAGAGGATAAAGCACTGAGGTACAGGGTGGTATTGACAGCTTAAGTAAACTTTCGCTGTTATAAACTCATTAAGAATGACATAGTTATTCTCATTAATAATTCATCAAATAAGTCCTTCAATAACAGGCCACTGACTATTTGTAATCATCTCACCCATTTCTTGATGGTTCAATGTGTGTGTCTGTGGGTGGGGACGGTGGGGCGGTATATGAAGTTATTTGATTTTTATAGGCAGTCAATACCCTTCACTGTATATCTTGTGAAGCACTTTGGGATGACCTCCTGATGTGAAAGGTTGCAAATCAGATGTAAGAATTATTATTATTAATAATTACCACATCAATCTTGTGTATTTACCCTACATTTAGTAAAATCTAATAGCATTACTGTGAGAGCTAAAACAGAAGCTTTTTGGTTGCACACTAAAATGCATTAAAAATAGTGTCTTTGTAAGAGCTTTGCATTAAATGTGTGTTTATTAGCAAAATCATTGTCACCTTATTCTGATGAGAACTGGCCTACTCGGAATATAGCAATCATTAGGGAGATAAAGGGCTTTTTGATTCTCAGCCCTATTTACCCACCTTCTCACCTTCTTCCCAGTAATATGTCCTTCTGCTTCTTCAACTCATTTAAAGCAGCAATTTTAATGGATTTCCCTGACAATTTATACAGAAAGTCTATTGAGAATGACTTCTTAATTCTAATTTCTTCATTCCAATCTGTGTCCCCTGAACACTGAGTGGAATGGTGAATAATCAGATGAGCAAAACAGTAGAACAAGAGGACATAGGTTTAGAGTTCAGGACAGACACCAGGAAGCTTTTTGTTTAACGCAGAGGATAATCATCGACTGGAACAATAAAGGTGGCAGAAGACTCATTTAAAAAGCAGCTTGATCCAGTGTTGAGGGATGATAGGATAAGTGTTCTGGAAGGATGAAATCAGATGGACCAGCTTCATCCAGGCCAGTCTTGTGATCTTGTAATAAGAGCCTGGGGCCTGGGAGGTGATGTATGAGGATTCCTAAGTTCAATAAATTCCATATTCCTTTCCTTGAGCTCAGGGTAAACTCGTCCTTCTCTCAGCGCTGTAACTCTTTCAATTCTGCTATCTAGCAGTGTAACCTCTGGATTGTGTCTCAGTGTATCTCACAATGGACCCATCACACCATGTAATTAATCCATAGAACTGATCATTAAACCACCCCCAAAAACAATTCCAATGACTGAATGGGAAAATACAAATTGTTTTATTGAGAAGTACAGTTTTATCGACTTTATCAGGGACTCTATAGATCAGGGGGACAGTTTGTTATAACAAGGCTTGATCTCAGTAGCTAAAAAAAACTGTGTTAACAGAAGAGGCTTAACTGTGCTAAGTAGTTTCAATGGAATAGGGAAGCAAGGTAAAAATACAAGTTGGGACAGTTTTATGTTTATTAAAAAAATGTTCTTTGTGAAAAAGAAGAAAGATTCGAGTTTTGCCCTTGTTGACTCTTCCTTTAGGCACCAGTACATCAGTAAGAATACCGCCACAGAAGCTGAGAGTATGAAGTCGACTGCAGGATACCAGGCTCAGAGGAAGTTCTACATGGCAGACTCACAATTCTCACAGATGAAAGCCTCTGAGGAGCACACTGCATATCGCAGTGCCACAGCCTCAAACAAGTCAAGGAAAGTTGCCATCCGGGAGTCTGCTGAGCGCATTTCACTGAGTAAGAAGGTGAATATAAAGAGTGATATTGCCATAGAGAGCGCGAGAGAGATACAGCATCAAAGTTAGGTTTCGCAAAGAATCAGGCTGCGTTCAGCGACTGAAATTGATGACGGATTTTTTTTTCCTGTTAATTTTCTCTTGTTTTGTTTCTTCCTTCTTCACCTGTAGTTTAGGGATCAAAAGCTAATTCTGGTTAATTTTCCTCCTTCCCAACCCAAGGCCACAGAAGTCAAGGTTTGTGAGATATTGCAGCTGGATTTGCCTAGAAACATGTACGTTCACTACACTTTACAGTAAATCCTAAGAGGCACTTTGTGACATTCTCCCAATCTGAAAGCCACTAAATCAAATATTGTACTCCAGTTGATGCCCTGACTCAGATCAGCTAACAGCCAAGATTGAGGTCAGAACACTGGACTTGCTTTGTCATTAAGTCTCAGTACACACAGAGGGACATAGTGACTGACCTGCTGTCGGGAGGGGGGCACTGAATGCAGGATTTCTGAAAGTGGCTAGCAGCAAAACATCAATGTGGCATGTCTTGCCCTGAGATGAGAAAAGGTTGCTTCTGAACAGAATGTTAAAGATAGTCTATCTCTATCACTTCTATTTTAAACCAGGGATACAGTCTCTCTATTTAGATTTAGAATGCAGACATTGCAATTTGGAAACATTGAACTGTTTTACAGGCACATCCATTCTCAACATCTCATGATGACGATCTAAAGTGATAGCGCTACCTGACATGGTTTTCAAGCTAAGGCTGAGAGAAATTTTGTGCGTAAGGTGATCAGTTATGAGATAGGATTGGACCCCACTGATGGTGCTGACCACTAGCAGTGATTCCAAATCCCAACTCGCAACTTTTGACGATAACCAGACATGAATCCCCAGACCTGTAGAAACTCCAGTCCAGAAAATGATTATGTGGGAGAGAGTTCCTGAGGCTTGATATGATCATGTTTCATTTACCAGCAGAAGACACTACTAGTGAAACCAGGTAGTGAATAAAACAATTTCAATCCCAATATAATAATCTTTACATTTGATTTAAGGGCTAAACTTGTCGTCAAGACATCTCAAAGTACTTAACAGGATTTTACTGTGAAGTGTAGTGACTGTGTATTTGTAGATAAATGTGCCAGTTGATTTGCATACAACAATGTTCCACGAACAGACGCAAAGTAAATGGTTATTTTATTTGGGGGATGTTTAATGTCCATCTGAGTAGACAGATGTTACCTGGGCATGTCATCTCATCCAAAGGGTGGCACCTCCAACAATGCAACATACCTCCAAAACTGCATTGGAGTGTAAGTCTAGAATACGTGAGCTCAAAGTCCAAAGTAGGGCTTGAATGCACAACTTTCCGATTTAGAGGGGAGAGTACTACCAATTGAGTCTTGGCTGAAACCTAAATGCATGTTTTAGTGAATCCTCTGTGGCCTCATCAAATCTTCATCAAATGTCAAATAAAAATTATGAGAATCAGGCTGGGGTGAGAGGCTATCATACTATGTGCGCTTTTTTTATTGTTACTAAAGCGACTGTGTGACTGGTTAACAGCTGGTATAGGTTAAACTGGGCAAACCCAGTGATGTTAGCTCTAGCCTCTCCCCTCCCCCACCCCACTCCACAAAATTAATTATTTCCATCTAACAGCAGATTGCTGAAATACATAGGGACGAGACAGGTGGGTGGAGATCACAGGCAGCCCTGTTATGAGCTCACGTCTTTCTGCTGGAGAGTCTGCTGCCGAATTGTTTCAGATCCTGAATCATTTCACACAGTCCAGTGAAAACGCCTTCATTTTCACACTGCTGTCTATGCTACCTTCTGTCTGAACTATCTTCTGTCTGGTCCTGTGCCCACACACAACAATGAAGAGTCAAATATACCAGTTTCAAATGGTAGAAACTGATTCCTGTGTTTGCTGGATATTCTCAGAAGTTTGTTAAACTTTATTTTAATAGGGATTTAGGGAAGAGTTTCCTCAATTTTTTATTATTTTACTTGATTTACTTAGTTTCACTCAGCAGAAAAGGGTGGACACGCAGCCTGCTCCCAGGCTGCTAACAACATCCCCTGTATCTGACAGCTACGAGACATTTAGGGGTCACTTTCCCCACTCTGTTCCTCCTGCAACAGTCTCAACTTGCCCCCTCTCCATTCACCAGAGCTCAGATCAACAACAGCATCAACCTACAATTATGTAGAAACCTATAAGATCATCAAAGGGCATGATAGAGTAGATAGTGGGAGATTGTTTCCCCTGGTTGGAGAAATTAAAACCAGGGGTCACAACCTTAAAATCAGAGGCCAACCCTTTCGCACTGAGTTGAGGAGGAACTTCTTCACTCAAAGGGTGGTGAATGTATGGAACTCACTACCCCAAAGGGCTGTTGATGCTCAGTCCTTGAACATATTCAAGACTGAGGTAGATAGATTTCTTATTGCAAAAGGGATTAAGAAATATGGGGATAAGGCAGGGTTAGGTTATTAGCTGGAGTTAGATTAGAAGATCAGCCATGATTGAATGGCGGGGAAGGCTCGAAGGGCCGAATGGCCTACTCCTGCTCCTACATATTATGTTATGTTATGAAAAGCTTTGCAAAATGACAATGTTTTGACAATTGTCATTGTTGGCAATCTCAACAGTGAACGTTGAACAGTGAACCCCAGCAATGCCTGAAAACAACAAAGAGATGAGAAGACAATTAATCTTTATTTTTGGAGAATGGGGGAGTTGGTGAGTTTGAATGAGACAGGGATATGAGTCAGGACAACTGCAGCCGGAGTGGGAATGAAATCCATGACCACAGCTGTTTGGTGACATTGAAGCCAAGCTCAATAACTCAGCACCACCATGGAGATTAGTGGACACTTTTGGAATCCTGTAAAACTTTTATTGTGAAAGATTTTAAAAGCTATTATAACATTTCAAAACCTATCTGAGTGTTAGAAGTGTCCTGGGAGCAGCTGAGGTCCTTTACATGTATCATTCCCATGTTAGAACCATGGAAATGTACAGCACAGGAGAAGGTCATTTAGCCCATCATGTCTGTGCCGGCTCTTTGAAAGAGCAACCCACTCAGTCCCACTTACTGGCCTTTACTCCAATCTGTGCAAATTACTCCTTTTTAGATATCTATCTAGTTCCCTCTTGAAACTATCATGGACACTACCTCTAACACGATACTCTGCATGGCATTTCCACAAACTAACAACTCTCTGTGTAAAGAAATTTATCGTACTCTCTTCATTTCTTGCCTCACTAACTATCTTCGGTACTTTGAACTAACAGTCTAGACAAACATTCCAGTGCAGTACTCTGGAGGAGCTCTGCCATTGTTTGGAGGTGAAACTTTCAGTTGCGATTTTAAACCAAGGGTCCCACCCGTCTGTTCAGGTGGAAGATCTTCTCAAAAAGAAAAGGGAGTTCTTTCCGATGTCCAACCACCCCCACCACCTCTCCCACCCTCCCAAACCCCCCGCCACCCCCAAATCCTCCAGATAAAATTGGTCACTCACTTCATGGTTACTTGTGGAATGTTGCTGTGTACAAACTGGCAGTCACATTCACGTTCACAAAAGACACAGTCATTGCAGCAAATCCTATGAAGTGCTAGTGTAAAGCACTATGTCAAATGCAAGTCTTATTATTGTTATTATTATTATCTTAAACTAGAAGCCAAAGTCTAGCTCCCCGCTGTTGTTGAGTGTCTATCAACCAGACAAGTGTAGGCATTCCTGAACACTGCATCACTGTGCCAGAAATAGAGGTGTCACAGTCAGCATATCACCAGACATCATATCTCATGCTAATAGAGGCAAGATTTTTGAGCTCTGTGAGAAACCGAGTCAGTGCTAATATCTCACTGTATTAACCTATGATTCTCAGCTTCTGTGTCTGTGGACAGCTGTCTCCTTACTTTCCAGCTATCACCAAAGTTAGAATCAAAGGAACCTTCTCCCCTTCCCAACAGATATAGGTGATGATAAGCGGCATGATAAGCTGTGAAATATGTGCCATTACTGACAACAAGCTACAGCTTCTCACTTTGATATCTGCAGTGGGCTTCATGGGTGGGTGCTGGAAGCCACATGGTATTTGTGAGCTTATTGCTCTGGTGTCCTCTATATTATCCCTACACTCAGAATATATAACTCATGTCCTCTTCTGCACCAGTAAGATCAGGTTGGTGGAAATGTAGGAAGAAAAATGTGCTATGCGATGTGAAAATTATCACTTTGGGCTAAAAATGAAGTTAAAAGGTTTCCTAAAAATCTATTCTTGCCCAGTTTAAGAATGAACACTCACCATTGCCCAAAGAATAGTTTTATCCACAGGTTTTAGGGATTCAATATCAATGATTTAGGTGTCACCTTGCCAGAAGGTTGTGGATTCAAATTCCATGTTGGGACTTTCAGCACATTGTATAGGCTGACACTACTGCAGTGTTGGGGTATGTTGCATTGTTGGAGGTGCCATCCTTTGGATGAGATGTTAAACCTCAAATCCTGTCTGCCTGTTCTGGTGGACGTTAAAGATCCCATGGTGATATTCAAAAAGAAAAGGGAGTCTCTTCTTGAATCCTGCCCAACAATTCCCCAATAAAATTGGTCACTGAATCCCTGCAAAGCATTTTGAGACATCCTCCTTACCTGATGGATACCATGTTATTGATCGTCCTCAAATCCATCTCAAATGGATTGTATCTTCACGGTGAAATATTTGGTTAAACCATGTTCCTTTTTATTTACGGGATGGTGAACATTATTTTGCCACAATGGCATAATTATGCATCCTAATATCATCTACTGCTCTACGAGCTGCAAACAACCAGTAAAGAAGTTAGCCAGAGAGTTGTTCAAGAAATCAGAGCCACTTTCTGAATTTGAATTTTGCTTCATTGAATACATGATTGTTCTCGTTTTACAGTGTAAAATGTGGCCGGTCTTTTTATGGTTATTCTGCGGTGAGCTGTGTTACTGCCTTTTGATGAATGTGGATGGATGGATGTTATACTGAGATGTGTTATATACTAAGCCAGTCTCTTGATTCTTTCCCCCCATCATCTTTTGCATTTTACACTAGATTCATGAGAAAGAAGAATTTCACAAAAAGATGCGAGAGGACCTCCTGCTGCATGTCCCTGAGTTCATAATTAAGCCGCGATCCCACACGGTTTGGGAGAAGCAGAATGTGAAACTGCACTGCACTGTCTCGGGAAAGCCTGATCCTCGAGTCACCTGGTAAATCAATAGCAATTATAATCACTCTCACCCCCACTGCCAAGCTTCTCTTTGGCAAAACAGGGTAGAAGGAGTCCTGTAGCTCAACGGTTAGAGCACTCGCCTCCAAGCGAGAAACCTGGGCTCTCTTCTCGAGCAGGGCGAAATTTTGAGCAAGTTTCCTTACTTCACACGCCTCTGTTTACCTAGCAGTAAGTAGGAACCCGGTTCTTAGTCAATTGACTAAGGGGATGATAATTCCTTTTAAGGGGATAATAATTCCTTCAAATTTTTTTTGAAAAAATTGTTCACTAAATCCACGACTGTTTGTGGGACACTGCTGTGCGCAATTGGCTGCCACGATCGCCCACAAAATATACATGATATGTACACTTTAGAGTATATTGTGTGAAGCGTATTGAGACATCTTAAAAATGTGATAAGTTTCTATATCAAATGCAAGGATTATTATTATTAAAATCTAGTGTTATTTTTACAAAGAGCTGGCGAGATACAATATAATTACTGTAAACTTCACATAAGTCGTATCAGTTGAGATAATACATTTAATATGACTTATGCAAAATATGAGTTAGATGAAACTTGCATAGAATATAAACTCGAACAGGATTTGGAAAGACGTACAATTTAGGCGATTAAATGATTCATACAGATCAGACCTATGCAAGTTTTACTGTATAGCCAGCCATTCTTTTCTTTGACTTATTTTTCTTTCTATTGGAGTACAGTATCGAGTTGCTCCAGAGCATACTGGTTGCGCTGAATGGCTTGATTCCGTGCTATATCACTCTGTAGTAAATCTAGGTAACTCTGATGCCTGAACCAAATTCCATGACTCACGCCTGAGCCTTGACAGCGAGTGTCTCCAGATTGTTCGCCTACAAGGTATACAGTGACTACACATTATGTATGTCCTGTGAATCTCTTTGGGACATCCTCCTGATATGAAGGGTACTATACTAAATGTAAGGATTATTATTATTTATCATTGTTTAACCTCAAGGGGGCATCGCAGCCTGGTGCAATCTTGTCACCTGTACCCACACGTGCAAACCGCCAACTGAAGATGCAGTGGCCAAAATGCTGACCTAACTCAGAATTCAAACCGGGCATTCTTGTGCCTCAAACTCACTGAGATGTCAGGCAGCCTGGAAGAAATTTGAAGGCCAGATTAAAGTTACAGGAAAACATGGTAAAATAATAAGCCATACTGCTCTTCATTCCTCGTAAATTCTGAAAGAAACATGGGTGTTACAAATTAGATCCTATTGTGAAACCTTATTGGAATATTTCCTTGTTTTGAGAAAGTGTTCTGTAGTCTAATTTAATGTGGCCAAGTCTGCAACTGGAAAAATCATAATTCATCTTTGATTATACGAGCTGACTTCTTTTTCTTTTCTATCGCTTAGGTATAAAAACAACGTCCCCATCAACGTCCATCATGATCCAGGCAAATATATAATCGACAACAAATACAATGTCCACTCCTTGGAGATTAACAAGTGAGAGATTCTTTTTCTTTCTTAAATTTAAGACTTACAGTCTAGCTCCATTCCAGTGTAGTAATGGAGGAGCATTAGAAGACCAATTAGTTTTCAGCTGTTGCTATTGTTACATTTGAGTGTCACTTCATAGAATACCACTGAACTAACCTTTTAAAGGTCAGGATTCCTGCTGCACATCCCCAAGTTTATGATTAAGCTGCGATTCCCACATTGTTTGAGACAAAGAGAAGTACTTAATACGTGGGGAGGCAGGTAAATTAGGCAGAACTGGTTTATGTCACCAGCTTCAGGTCCAAGTCACACTGCGTGCTTACTGAAGTCAGGTGCAACAACAACAACAACAAGATTTCATTTATAGAGCGCCTTTCACGTCGGTTGGACATCCCAAGGCACTGGACAGATTGGGTCGGGACCCGAGCAGGGGGGAAATGGTCAGGGTGAGGGGAGGGAAGGGAGGGAGCGAGGAGTGGGTAGAGAGTCGAGAGGGGAGCTGAAGGCACGGTCGAAGAGAAAGGTCTTGAGACTGGCCTTGAAGGAGGAAAGGGAGGAAGCAAGGCGAAGGCACTGGGGGATGGAGTTCCAGAGCCTCGGGGCTGAGAGGCTGAAGGCCCGGCCACCGATGGTAGGACGGTTGGGGCGGGGGATGTGGAGCAGACCGAGCCAGAGGAACGGAGGGTACGGGCAGGTAAGTAGGGGGATAGTAGATCGGAGAGGTAGGAGGGAGCAAGGCTGTGAATGGCCTTGTAGGTGAGGATGAGGATCTTGAATTCGATCCTCTGGGGGATGGGGAGCCAGTGGAGGTGAGCGAGGGTGGGAGTGATGTGGGCGTGAAGCCTGGTGCAGGACAGTACATGAGCTGCAGAGTTCTGAATGACCTGCAGCTTGTGGAGGGAGTTTCAGGGAGTGCAAGGGATGGGAGAGGGTGTAGGGGTCACTGACTGATGCAGTCAGGAGTGGAAACACATCTGGCATTCCTCCAATTTGCTTGGGTGGGGAATCATTGAGAAAAAGCAGCCACTGTATAAACATAACAGAAAAGTCTGTCCCCAGGGGTGTTTCTCTGGTGCCAGAAATAGAATAATTCACAGCATGCTTATGGTGTTAAAGTTGATCCATCTCTGTTGACCCCTGCAGTGACCCACCGTTTTTAAAATGTTCAGCCAATATCTTACAGCCCCATGATGAAGGAATCCCCTTTCATCCATGTTTAGCATCAGAGCTGTGAAGCTGTGCAGTCTGGCTGCTAGAAATTGCCTACCCCAGCATTAATGAAGTATAGTTATTACATCTTCAGACTTAAAATGGTCATTTTTAAAAGTGGTCATTGAGCATACCCTTTCATGATCCTGCTTGAAAATGTATCCCATCTTTCTATATTCAAATGCACCCATTTTGTGTCACTGGAGTCTGATTTGTGTTACTAGCAGAAGGATTTGTGACTTCAAAAAGAGTTCCACCGTATCATGCGTAACACAAGCAGGATTTGCTGTTTATAAACCATTCTGTTAAAATAATAAATTAGACCCCACTGTATCAATACACAAGAATAATAGTTTGATTGGTTGTACCCGCATACCAATTAGTTCAGGGTCACTTTGCTGTCTTAACATTAAACAAAGATAAAATCTCTGAGTTCCTTGGCTAAAAGGTGCACATTCAACAATAGAGTCCCTCACGTGGGTAGTATGTCAAAGTGCTTTAAATTCAGTGAAACACCCTGATGATATGATGGGAAGGTTGGTAGTGTGGGTATCCTGCAAAGATGAGATCAAATGGGTTGAACGGTCTTTGGCATCCGAACCGATCTTATGATCTTGTGAATGAAATAATTCTAATAATAAAACTAATTCCTACTCTGTGGTCCTCCATTCACTTTTCCAATCTCAGGAATACTGAGTGGGGATCAGTGCTGTCCAACAGTGAGTTCATTATCCCATATCTCCCACTTCCAAGTTGAGTAAAGATCTTATTCTTCAAATTGAAATACTGGGGTTTGTGGTTTGGGCCCCAACCATTTTGCAAACATATGGGCTGTAGGAGGGCTGTTCACCTTTATCCAGCTACCACTTGAATACCAGCAGGAGTGTAACGTAAAGGCCAACAATATAATAGAATGCAATTTACTTCTATATTGACTGTGATGATTAGCATGGTGGTAGTTTTGACATTGAATGCTGCATTTAAAAAAAAGTATTTTATTCACCATTTCCTCTGTACACAGAAGAGCTTTGATACCTGTAACTACTATTCCCACCCGTAATGTTACAAGGATGAGTGGGAGGGCCTGAGGCCACCAGTCATCACTTATATAGGTTTGGCTGCCATACGTTCCCTATGTGCTAGTCAAACATTCCCACATATAAATAGAGCAGTTAACTGAGGTAGGGGGAGCAAGGTACAAAAATACGGAGAGGCTTTAACCGTGATTCTATACTCAATCTCAAACGAAGGTAATAAGAAAGAAGGAGTTAGAGAGAGAAAGAGAGAGGGGAAAGTTGATCAGCCTTTTCAATTTCAATCCCAACATTTGGGATTGATATTCTTTGCAACCCAAGAACATCAAATGTATGTTAGATGGTCAGATGCTGATTTCGGAGTTAAACTTGCGAAATCTAGATGTCTTTGCTTTTTATCTAACTCCATCTTCTGTTTCCTTTTCAGTTGTAACTTTGATGACACTGCCCAGTACCGTGTTTCAGCCATGAATGTTAAGGGAGAATTGTCAGCCTTTGCATCAGTAGTAGTGAAAAGTACGTCTGGTCAATGACTTTCCTCATATTATTTCTGCTGTAGCTATTTCAGTTATTCTACTGAGTCTGTACCAACATAAATGCATATATTTGCTATTCATTGCAGGATTCAAAGGAGAGTGTGATGATTTCTCATTCCATCCTGGAAGAATTGCACCTCTTGGTTGTACGTACCTACTTCATTATTGTAATTAGTTGTAATGTGTCAGACGTCACTCGAGCTCAGTTGGTAACACTCTTGTCTCTGAGTCAGAAAGTTGTGAGTTCAAGCTCCAAGTCGTGACTTTTATCTCATTATCTAGATTGACACTCCAATGCAGTTCTGAGGAAGTACTGTAGTGTTGGAGGTCTTGTCCTTCAGATGAGACATTGGCCCTGTCTGCCTGCTTAGGTGGACGTGAAAGATCCCATGGCACTATTCGAAAGAGGATTGAGTTTCCCCTGGTGACCTGACTAACAATCTCCCAAATTAAACCACTCATTCAATTATGGATGTTTGTGGAACATTGTTCTGGGCAAATTAGCTGCCACGTTCATCTACAAATAAACAGTCACTGTACTTTAAAGTAAATCTGTGAAGTGTCTTGGACATTTCAATGACATGATAAGATGCTGTAACCAATGAAAGGATTATTATTGTTATTATTATAATAATTATTCTTATTGTGGAGTCCTGTAGCTCAGTGGTTAGAGCACACGCTTCACAAGCGAGAGAACTGGGTTTGATTCCTGGCAGGGCTAAACCTTGCGCAAGTTTCCTTACTTCCTGATAATAATCCCTCAAGAAAAAAAAATAATAATTTGGTCACTCAATCCACGAATGTTTGGGGGACACTGCTGCGCGAATTGGCTGCCGTATTTCACCCACAAATATACAGTCAATTCACCTTACAGTAAATTCTGTGAAGCGCTTTGAGACATCTAGAAGACATGAAAAGCGCCAAATCAAATGCAAGGATTATTATTAGATTATTATTATAACCAATAGCTCCCAAGGCTAGGTGTCATCCGGGTGAACTAACGCGTTATTCATTTCCGATCTGGGGCTTATTATTTCTAAATTTTTGCCTATCTCTAGGCAGTATGCAGGAATCTGTACTTTTGTATTTCTGGGCCTGTGCAAAGTAATATAAATGATTGGAAAGAACAGTGTAACTACGAAGCAATACCAAAAAGATTCATTCTCTCCCGAACAGACGAATTTTACCCGGCAGATTCTTACACCAAGTTTGAAATACACATAGTTGAAAAGTTTGACGTATATTTCGGGAAGGAAGAAGATACATTGAGCTTCGGATGCACTGTCATTGTTCACCCTAACTTGAAGCGATTCCAACCAGAAATCCAGTGGTGGCGAGATGGTAAGCAATGGCTGTAATTGGACAAAGCGTTACTTTCCAACAAACATGGTTTTTGTACTATAGACAGTAATCCAAGACAATAAGGGCAAAGGGAGCTATCTAAATCCTGTATAGCATGTTCCCTCAACTATCCTTTGTACCACACATCTGCGCGATGACCCGCTCTGCCTTCCCCCACCTCCCCAACTTCGCCCGGCTCTGCCACTGTCTCACACTGCAGGCTGCCGAAACCCTCATACATGCTTTCATTACATCAAGACTCGACTATGCAAACTTATTGCTTGTCAGCCTCCCCAATTCCTCCCTCCACAGGCTGCAGATCATCCAGAACTCTGCAGCCCGTGTCCTCTCTCACACCATGCTCCGAGACCCTATCACCCCCATCCTTGCCCAACTCCACTGGCTTCCCATCACACAGAGGATACAGTTCAAGATCCTGGTCCTCACCTTCAAAACCCTCCACGGTCTTGCTCCCCCCTACATCTGCAACCTCCTAACCCCTATTATCCTGCTCACTCCCTCAGCTCAGCAGGCTCCTGCCTGCTTCACATGCCCCACCTCGCTCGCCCCACTATTGGCGGGTAGGCTTTCCTCCACTCTGCCCCCAACCTCTGGAACTCCATCCTGCAGTCCCTCCGTCTCACCCCCTCCCTCGCCTCTCAAGACCCACCTCAAGATCCTCCTCTTTGACCGTGCTTTCGATCTCCCTGCTTCCCCCCCCCGCCCCCTCCCCCACCCCAACCCCCAGCTCAATCTGTAACTCTGTCTGTCTAATGTCGTAACACGTCCTCCCAACAGGAAAGGAACTACACAAACATAATTTTGTTGTTGTTGTTGTTGTTGCCTACACTCACAGTCATTATCAGAAGATTCCAAATAGGAATTGCCTTCTTTTCAGAACTTTCCATTCATCTTTTAAATGTTATTTGTTTTTCCTGGATTATAAATTAGTAGATATCCATTATTATTATTGATAATTATAATATAATAATTAGTTTCTAATTATTATTTACAAATTACTATTATTATTAGAAATTTCCATTAGATGAACACTTCTACTGTTTGGAAGTGAATTATGGATGATTTAAAACTGTCCCAAAACAATAAAATCATTCCCATGAATTTCAAAGACTTTAGTGTGAAAGTTGCAAGTGATTTTGAGGGTGTGATCCAGTTTCGGATTGGGATTTCACTCACAAGTGGGATCATTTTCCCTCTTGTTGCTAAAATTAACCACCTTTCTGAACACTGACAATGGCTCACTGCCAAAGGCTAGCTAACAAGGGGGAGATTAATCCCTGAAGTATTAAAGTGATTATTCAATTTGTATTATCAATGGAATAATCCATTGGGAGGAAGAATCATAAACCGAGTGACATGTTTGAAGTTTTATGAGCAGGATTATAATAGGGAAACCATTATTAGTCATAAAGTTGTCATTAGATTTAAATTGAAGAAATAATATCGGTCCATTTTTTTGCTAATCAGAATAGATTTAAAAATAGCAGTGTTACTAATAAATGGCACATACTTTCTTGTTATCATAACAACAACAAAGACAACCTGCACTTATATAGTGGCCTCCAAGCAGGGTAGCATCTCAGAATTCTTAATAGTGGAGCCGGGGTAGAGGGGGAGGTGGTGGCCATATGCACAGTCGAAGAGGATGGTTTTCAGGCAGGACTTGAAAAAGTGGAGAGAGGGGGCAAGGCGGAGGGATTGAGGAAGAGTGTTCCAGAGTTCCAGAGTAGTGGCTGAAAGCGTGACCTCCAATGATGGGGCGGAGGGTGCGAGGGATGAGCAGGAGGTCTGTGCCAGTCGAACGGAGGCACGGGTGGTGGATTGAGGAGGTCGGAATTGGAGTTACTGCTTGAAAATGATACATCACTATCACACTATCAATGAAATTACTGTTTTAAATTTTATTAATCTCATAAAACATTTGGAGCTCAGTTTTAATTTTATTACTTAGTATTTATTCACAGCAAAATCTCATCATCAATAAAACAATTAGTACTTTGGTATATGTGCAGCTGTAGCAATTCTGAAGTCAATACCAATGCAATGCATTCACATACAAAATATACAGTCGCAACATTTTACAGTTAACCCTGTGATGTGCTTTGAGATGTCCTCCTGACGTGAAAGGCGATGTCAAATGTAAGGCTTATTATTATTTTAATCTCTCTGTCCTCCTCTTCCCTTACACTCTTGTTGCTTTGCTTTTCTCTACCTTCCTTCCTAGGTGTTCAGTTACAGCCGTCCAAGTGGATGCAAATGCACTGGAGTGGAGAGCGTGCCACACTAACGCTCACTCACATGAACAAGGAGGATGAAGGGCTCTACACATTGCGTGTGGTGACAAAATCTGGCTATGAGCAGCACAGTGAATATGTGTTTGTAAGAGGTGTGTGCTACATATAAGTATTTTGCACAATAGCCTTGACCTTACCAATCAGAAAGAGTTCAATACACAGATAATATGAATCATAATGGGTGACATATTCCAGCTAGTAATAGTAAGGGATGGTGAGTCTTGTTTCCACCTCTCTATAAAATCCCGTCTGAGGCTAGTTAGTCTAACTTGTTTGTTGAATAGCCTAATTCTGAGTTTTTTGTTGAATTAACTCCAACTGACAGGCAGACAAATATATCTTAGTGATGGAATTGATGGGGAGAGAAAGCACAGCTCAGCCAGCATATACAATGAGATACTGACTGGCTATATTTTTCAAATATGTCTTTACTAATACTTCGCAGATCCTAATTTTCACTGCAGCATGTATTAGACCTTATTACAATTGAGAGGAGGCTCCTTAATTTAAATGTATTTTATTATAGAGGCAATGGGCCAATGGATATCTGAATGAGGAGTAAAACTACACAAGTGTATGAATGTCATATTCAAGAAAAAGGAAAGGGGATTATTTCTGCTTTTGCACTTTAAGTGCTGATGTGGAACCAATATTATTGTACTTTGTTTGGTGTGTTGGATGCATTTAATAAATTTGTCCCTTCATAAATAAATAATAAAAAATAAATTTTCAATAATAAACACAAATAAAAAATAAATACATTTATTAAATAAATGTAATGCAATTTAAAAATATAATTGAAGCCCACATCTATAACATCATGTTATTTACAATGTAAAGTTATATTATATTTATTTCTGGGTGATTAAGATAGAATTACCAAATAGAGTAGAATGGTACTTAACACACACCAACAAATTCACTGCATAATGTCGTACATAGCAGAATAAACCATGAGAGATTAAAATACCTTGTATGTTTTATGCTTGGGGTTGTAAATTTTTTACACTCTGCCTTCAGATTCAGTGCAGATGAGTACAGCTAAGCAATGAAAATTATGCTAATAGAATAATTCTATTCATAGGATTTAAAGTACTATTGTCCATATCTTGAATATTTATTCCGCAGATGAGATCTCCAAATTATCTATTATTTTGTACTGTTCATTCCTCTTAGCTAATATTGACCAAGATCTAAAATACCATCTAGTCTTAGCCTGAAAGAGCAATTTAATTTAGCATTGAAGATAATGCAGAATTGTGGAAATTCTTAAAAATTCAGTCTTAATTTGGAAGCTGGTTTTCCACAATTCTTTAAAATGAAACAGCTTCCAAATTAAAACTGAATTTAATAACAAATATGCATGAGGGAAATAATAATAGAGGATTATGAGAGAGGAAATTAGGAGGGGTGGAGGTTTGTATGGAGTATAAATATATGTAGCATAGGCTAGTTGGGTTAAATTACCTGTTTCCATGCCTTACAGTCTATAAAATTCTATGTAAGAATTTTCCACAAGTCTCTGCAATCTTAATTTTTTTTAAAAGAGTTCCCTTAGTTCAGCATGACTTGTGTCTGCTTACTGGCAGAATTTGTTATTTGGAGTTTGCAAGTTCCACAGTTTCATTGCCGTTCCCAACACCAGGGAAGTGCCATTGCTGGAAGGCAGATAGTTTGTTTCTGTGACCTACTACATCACAAAATTTGTGTTTCATTGACAGATACTGATGCCGAGGTTGCCGGTGGCCCAGGTGCCCCATTGGATGTGTATTGTATGGATGCCAATAAAGACTATGTAATTGTAACCTGGAAACAGCCAGCGGTAGATGGTGGAAAGGCCATCCTTGGTTATTTTGTTGACAGGTTAGTATTCAGTAACATTGAACACTGAAATAACATTTTTAACATTGTTAACATTTAGAATGATCCTTGGTTTGATATACAGGGTAAACACCCTTGTTCAAAATAGTGCTGCCATGTTTATAATGCTGTTGGGTAATGAACCCTGACATTTGGTGACATTAAATCCATTTATCACAAGAACAGCAACAGTAAAATTACATTTGTATAGCGCCTTTTATATCGGGAGGATGTTCCAAGGCTCTGGACAATCAGTGTTTTGGACCCGAGCCGGAAGTCGGGATTGGGGAGGGTGGAGGGCAGGGGGGAAGCAGGAAGATCAAAGCCTGTTGAAGAGGAGGGTCTTGACATGGGTCTTCAAGGAGGCAAGGGAGGAGGTGAGGTGGAGTTCCAGAGGGTAGGGACAGAGTGCCAGAAGGCCCGCCCACCAATGGTGGAGCAGGCGAGGCGTGGGACGTGAAGCAGGGCAGAGCCCACTGAGTGGAGGAAGCGGGTCAGATGGTAGGGGTTTAGGAGGTTGCAGAGATAGGGGGGAGCAAGGCCATGGAGGGCTTTGAAGGTGAGGACCAGGATCTTGAACTGTATCCTCTGAGTGATGGGAAGCCAGTAGAGTTGGGCGAGGATGGGGGGTGATAGGGTCTCGGAGCCTGGTGTGGGAGAGGACACGGGCTGCATAGTTCTGGATGACTTGCAGCTTGTGGAGGGAGGAGTTGGGGAGGTTGACAAGAAAGGAGTTTGCATATTCAAGCCTCGATGTTATGAATGCACGTATGAGGGTTTTGGTGGCCTGCAGTGACAAACAGTCGTGGAGCCGGGCGACGAAAGCAGGTTGGGTTGTCCATCATGAACCTGGTGTAAGCAGGTTAAATTGTACATGGCGATTAGGATTTAGATCTAATTTGTGACTTGTGCAGACCACGTGCAAACATATGTGCAGAATTACTTGCAATCCTTTTCACTGTTTTTTATTACATAATTGAAAGTATCTGTATTTCCCTCTGCACAAATGCATTTATGCATGGTTCACACAACTTGCAAATTGCATCCCATTTTGTACCATAGTGATCATAAAATCATAGAATTATACAGCACAGAAGGAGTCCATTGTGTCTATGCGTGCTCTTTTAAAACAGTTATCATATTAAATTAAATTTAAATCAATCCCACTCCCCCGTTCTCTCCCCATAGCCCTGCAAGCTTGTCCTCCCTAAATAATTATCTACTTCTCTCTTAAAAGTTGTTATCAAATTGGCTGCCACCACCATTTCAGGCCCTGCATTCCAGATCCGAACAACTCACTGTGTTGAGAAATTTCTTCTCACCTCCCCTCTGTTTCTTTTAACAACTATTTTAAATCTGTATCCTCGGGTTACCAACTCACCCACTCGCCAGTGGAAATAGTTTCTCTTTGTTCACCCTATCAAATTCCCTCATAATTTTGAAAACTTCTATTAAATCTATTAAAATGCTGGGATTTGTTACACTTTTATGCCAGGAAAAATGACCAGACATTCTTTGTAGAAACAGCTAAAAGTTATTTTCTCACAGATGTGAAGTAGGCACCACTCACTGGATTCAATGCAACGACACCCCAGTGAAGTTTGCGCGCTTCCCTGTCACTGGGCTGGTGGAAGGTCGATCCTACATCTTCCGTGTACGCGCTGTCAATAACGTTGGAATCAGCAGACCATCCCGTGTATCTGAGCCTGTTGCAGCCCTGGATCCTTCTGACAGAGCTAGATTGAAGGGTAAGTAGGCTTTTCTGTCATATCTTACATAGACAGAGGAAAGGTGTAAAGAGTGACACGGAATAGGGCTCTATTGCTGTTACAAGCACTTTTAATGCATTTGTCCTGTGATCGAAACAAGCCAACAGTGTTTAAAATTAAAATCCACAGAATGTCGACACTTAACTCCCTCACGCTCCCATTTATCAGAGAATCTAGAACCTTTTAACAATTACAATGATTTACATTTATATAGCATGTTTCATGTCGAGATGCTCTAAGTGTTTTGCAGAGCTGGCTGGGAGCACAAACTGAGGAGGGGAGGGTGTGAGGAAGGTGGCCACAATTGGATCCCCCCAAACAACAACGCTTCCAACCCTACATGAACCACTCTGTAGAAAATGTCCCAGTGAAGTTGAGGACTGTCTCCTCACAGGGACTAAGTGGAGTAAGAGGATGAATTATCCTTATGCTGTTCTTACACACTTTCAAACACCAAAATTGTGATGAAGGCTTGGAGACAGGTAATCTGCCCTTTCTGGGTTCTTGGTCTGAGAGTCCAGACAATATGAGGAGTGCAAGCAAAAGAGAAAGACTTTGCCTCACTTTTCAAGTGAAGTAATAACTCATGCGGCGCATATCCCTTGACCTTTACGAGTAAGGACAGACTAGGACAGTAAGTATCCGTGGCCTAATTGATAGTGGAGAATGGGTGAAGGCTGCATCACATTCCTTTTCTTTAACCGTTCTTTCCTACCTCTATTGTGCTTACTTCTTGGGAGAAATTCCACCTGGGTCTGGACTCACTCTAGTTGTGCAACATTTAGACAATCCAGAATTTGATACATTGTTTGAATTCAGTTTAAATTTTGTAGTTGGCTTTCTATAGTTCTTAAAAGAACATACATAAAAGTGTCTTCAAAACAAAGATTATATTTAAGAATGTATCAAATTCTGAATGCTCTAAATTGGTACATAAGTACAGTAAATCTAGACCCAGGTGGAATTTCTTCCCACACGTTATAGAAGAGTCTAATTTTCAGTATTTCTCAATGGGATTCCTTAATCTAAGTCATACAAATAGACAACTTTTGGTAATTATTGAATTCCACTGTGAGGTGATCTACTCCCAGAGTAAAGCTAATTGGGAATTCTAAGAAGATTTCTTATTAAGGAATTCCATTATTATCACAAATTCTGCTGCAAAGAACTCTTATCAAACATCTGTTCAGTATAAATCTTTGACTCCATGTATTCTTAAACTTCAGGCATACAATCAGCACCATGGACTGGACAGATCATTGTTACAGAAGAAGAACCAGCAGGTAAAATAGTCACATAGAATGATATGGAACAGAAACAATCTATTTGGCCCAACTAGTCCATGACATCTCTGTTCATTTGTATTTATGTCTTTTTTCTGTCTTTCGTGGATGAAGCTATGCAGTTAACAATTCAGAATATAATATTTTCTATATTTAAAATGTCTTGTGCAACATTTCACTGTAGGTTTTGTTGTGTTTATAGCAGTGAGAAACAATGTTATCAGTCAGTTGTCTCAGAGTGTATGAGGTGGAACAATTTTAGATCTTTCACTCTCAATCATTATTCACCAGTGATTCAGATTAACCATTTCCCCCCCTTTCTGTTCATTTTGTTCCCATGTTTATCTCTTTTCTCCTGAAATTGACTACTCATGTTCAGTACAGTTCCACGAAGCCAATGGTTCCACTCTGGTATCTTGTCCGAGTATAAGGCCTGTAAAGTTTTAAACTGTTCAAAAATAGGAAAGCATCACAACACAGCTGTTGCTCCCTAATGTGCACATATCCAATTTCTGCATTAATGTCTGGATATATCAGTCTAACACAGAGTAAAGAGCAATATTTTGACTTGTATCCCAACAGAAGGTGTTGTGCCTGGCAAACCAACAGAGCTGACTGTTACTGAAGCTACCAAGAATTATGTTGTCCTCAGCTGGAAACCTCCTGGTCAACGTGGCCATGAAGGAATCATGTACTATGTAGAGAAGGTAAATATATCAAGACATGTGGACAAAACAATATAATATGGGACCTACATTTCTAGAAATCAACCATAACATTTACAAAGATGAGCAGTAATATTTTAGATATAATTTTGCAGGAACCCCTTTGTCATCACAGTGTGCCTGAGGTGATTGTCGTGCTGTAATAATCTCCAGTCTTCGCTGAATAGGAAACCCATCAGAGAATATGGATTTCAACTCACACACTTGCTTGATTAAAACCCATAATCTAAAGAGTGTATAGCGTTAAAGAGGTACAGTAACATCCAGACAAAACAAGATTTTATCCTCTTGGAAGAGTAAATGTGACCTTAGGTTTAGGTAGTGGGTATGGCCTTGCTGGTCTTTTTAATCTCAAATGTGAGAACCTATCACCATAGTATCACCATACACATGTTTAATGTGTAACCACTAGTGTGATATAGTGTGCCCAGTGCTCATGTGTTATGTCATTGCCTCACTTGGCATTTAAACATTATATGACACAATATCCTCTGTTTATCCAAGTGAGATGTGTTGCTGCAGCTTTTAGTTGACATGATGAATGGTTGGTGTTCCGTGTTACATGCTACAAATACATAGGCATATAACATAACAACAACAAACAACAAAATTACATTTGTAAAGCGCTTTTCAGGTCGGGAGGACGTCCCAAGGCACTGAAAGCAAGCAAGGAGGTAACGGTAAATGTGTACAGGACCACACTAGGCCACAGTTGGAGTATTTTGTGCTACCCTATTGAACGGAAGGATATAAATGGAATGTAAAGTGTGCAGTGCAGATTCATTAGGGTATTCACAGAGATCAAGGGTTCCAGTTCTGAATGAAACAACAACAACAAAATTACATTTGTAAAGCGCCTTTCATTCCAGGAGGACTTCCCAAGGAACTGAAGTCGGGGATTAGGACCTGAGCATGGTGGGTGGTGGGGGCAGGGTTGGGATGAAGGAGGACAGAAAGGTAGAAGGGTGGCTGAAAACATGGTTGAAAAGGAGGGTCTTGAGTCGTCCCTTGAAGGAGGTAAGGGAGGGAGCAAGGTGACGAGATTGTGGGATGGACTTCCAAAGGGTGGGAGCAGGGAGGCTGAAAGCCTGGCCATCAATGATAGGGTGGGTCGGGCAGGAGACATGGAGCAGGCCAGAGCCAGCAGAGCAGAGGGAGTGGACAGGTTGATAGGGGTTCAGCAGGTCAGAGATGTGGGGATGGGGGGCAAGGCCGTGGAGGACCTTGAAGGCGAGGATGAGGATTTTGAATTCTATCCTCTGAGGGATGGGGAGCCAGTGGAGCCAGGTGAGGGTGGGGGTGATGGGGTCACAGAGCCTGGTGCAGAAGAGGACATGAGCTGCAGAGTTCTGGATGATCATGGAGGGAAGAGTTGGGGAGGACGACAAGAAGGGAATGACCCAACAGAGATCTTGAAAACATGAGAACGTAGGGATGTGTTCATTGGGGCCGAGGAGATAAAGGGGTGACCCAACAGAGATCTTGCTTCCAAAGGTTATGATATGGGGTAAGTAGTTATAGATTTTTTCCACTGTATCTATTACTATTTATTATTATCTATTACTAAATCAGTAGGAGAGGACACAAATTTCACATAATTGCAAAAAGAACAGAAGGGGAGGTTAGAAAACATTTCTAAGGAATGTGGAATTCTCTGCCACAAACCTTTGCTCAAGTGGAGTTCATGATTTATTTTAAAAAGGAATTGGAAAGATCCTCAAAGAAGAAGAAGAATATTAAAGGATATGGGGAGTGAGCGGCATGTGAATGAGACGAGCAGGGAAAAAACTCTAGCGCAGACTGACTGGGCCAAGAGGCCTGTTTCTGTACTGCAACATTCAATGAGGGAAAAAGGGAGAAATTCTACTTTCCGTTTCTTAAGTAATGCTGGGAATTATTAAGGAACATTTCATCAAATGGACATAATTTGTGGTTAAAATGTGTCCTTGACCAGTCTTTAGGCCAAGGACACTTTTTAATCACAAATTCTGTGGTTGGGAATGGTTAAAAAAATGTGTTATCTCGTAATCGATTCAATAACCTTCGACAACTGTCAAATGTGTAATGAGGTGTTGTATCTTTCACTCCATTATATGCACAGAAATGTTTTGTGGGAACTGATATGTACCCTTGTTGATATCAGTGCGTTGCAGGTGCTGATGATTGGCAGAGGGTTAATGCAGAGATTCCTGTGAAATCTCCACGCTTTGCTTTGTTTGATCTGGCTGAGGGCAAATCATACTGTTTCCGTGTGCGCTGTGCCAACTCCGCTGGCATCGGTCCACCATCTGAAGCAACAGAGGCTACTGTTGTGGGAGACAAGCTTGGTAAGTATGAGTTGCCTGTATGAATTGGGATCAATGGTACGACTGCTATTCTGGCCTGCCATCAGACCTTCTGGTAATGGCGAGCAAAAATGGGTCATTAACTGACCTCTGAGGTGGTGTCATTCCTAAATATGTTTATGCTGAACAAAAATCAACACATTGTTTACTGAGAAGCAAAGATAAAGGACCAAAGACCAAAGACCAAAAGTTCTCCTTAGCCCTTCATTTCAGTTTGTACACACTAGTTGGCAAAATTGACTCTACTTATATTTTTATTCAGTAAATTTCAGTCAATTATTCATTAATTGGAAAAAAAACACATTATTCCATCTCCTTATGATATTGAACTGATTTCATGCAGGTACTAATTCTCCTGATACTTGCACAAGGGGCCGAGTGATAAATAATGCCAAAATGCAATAACTATGAGTTTTATTAACAGGTGTCAGCCTAGCTCATTTGGTAGCACTCTCACCTTTGAGTCAGAAGAGCCTTGGAACCCATTTTGTCAATGCTGACACTCCTATGCAGGTTTGGGCGGTGTGCTTCATTGTCGGAGGTGCTGTCCTTCGGATGAGACATTGAATTGAGGACCCGGCTACCTGTCCAGGTGGATGTTAAAGATCCTATGATCGCATTCAAAAAGAGAAGGGAGTTTCCCCCGGTGTCCTGGCCAACAATGCCCTAAATAAAATTGGTCACTCACTCCAAAGCTGTTTGAGGAACATTGCTGTGTGCAAATTGGCTGCCATATTTGCCCACAAAATACACACAGTCACACAACTTTACAGTGTATCCTGTGAAGCACTTTGATATGTCTTGATTATATGATAAGGTGCTTTATCAAATGCAATAATTATTATTATATAATAACTGATATAACCAAAGACATTTTTCTATGTAGATATTCCAAAAGCCCCTGGTTGCATTGTGCCCTCAAGGAACACTGACACCTCTGTTGTTGTCAGTTGGGATGAGTCAAAAGATGCCAAAGAGTTAGTGGGATACTACATTGAAGCAAGCATCTCTGGATCTGGCAAATGGGAACCTTGCAATAATAAGCCAGTGAAAGGAAGAAGGTAATAATCTAAAAGAAGGTGGGTAGAGAAAGAAACAACATATGGTTGAATACTGTTTTTTTATCCCTTTAATATGGGATAAAATACCAGTATTGAATGGCTTGAAGAATGGCCTGCAATGTTCACTGAGCTTGGCAGTGTTACAATGGATGTAATGTTACTCATTCCAACTGCGTAGTTGTGGGTAAGTGAAAGAGACGAGCATCACTGACATTTGTATGAAAATAAATGAGGTAAAGTATAACGTTTTTGCATTTTCAGATTTCATATGTAGCTATTTACTACTAATATTGGCCATTTGTGGAGTTCTGCAGCTCAGTGGTTAGAGCAGTTGCTGCACAAGTAAGAGACCTGGGTTTGATTCCAAGCAGGGCAAAACCTTGGGCAAGTTTCCTTACTCCACATGCCTCTGTTTATCTAGTAGTAAGTAGGAACCCGATTGTTAGTCGATTGCCTAATCACTTTTCCGGGGGTAATGATTCCTTCAAAAAAATAAAGTAATAATAAATAAATAAGTAAATTGGTCACTCAATCCACGACTGTTTGTGGGACACTGCTGTGTGCAATTGGCTGACACGTTTCGCCCACAAAATATAGTCAATTCACTTTACAGTACATTCTGTGAAGAGCTTTGAGACGTCTCGAAGATGTGATAAAGGTTCATATCAAATGCAAGGATTGTTATTATTATTTTCTGACAGCTTCAATGCACATTACTTGCATCGTTGCAAAAGAAGCAATGATACAATGTTGTTTTGAGCAAACACAATACTTCTGAATCTGATAACCAGTGCTAGCAAATCTTCTTTGAGCTTTGTGTATTTTGTGAGAGTCAGAAGAATGGAAACTGATCTGCTGGCAAGTCCAATGGACATTTTTTAAAGACTTCAGGCCAATTCATTGTGTTGGAGTCAGTTGTTGTTGGTGCATGGTAGTGGGAGAGTGGGGGGTGGGGGTGTGTGTCACATCCTTGGCCAGTTTTAGCCATTGACTGGGCTCATTGATCACATTTATCGTCGTTGTGATCAATGTCATATCACACAGCGCAATCTTCATTCCAGTTTGTGGCGAAATAAAAAGCTCTGTCTTGGTATAACTATATATAACTAAAATTGGTTGTATATAATATGTTATGTCCACCAAACTCAATAAAATTTTGATTTAACAAATAACTAATGCAAATCATTGCAAACATGGTAATCTGAAAATAAACTTTTTCTGTTTTGTAGGTTTATTTGTCATGGGCTGCAAACTGGTCAGGTATATGTATTCAAAGTCAGGGCTGTTAATGCAGCTGGACTCAGTGACTTCTCGCAGGATTCTGAACCATTGGAGGTCAAGGCAGCTCTAGGTAAGTACAGAACAATAAGCTGATATTATCTGAGCTCAGATTTTTGATAGTAAAGATGTTTATCATTGATTTTACTTTTCAAATAATGACAAACTGTTTTCACAGCGCCATCATGTTGTTGTGGTTCTTCACTGTATTGTACCTGTATTGCACCCCATTGTACCTGTATCACATGGAAAGTTTATTGTTTACCACTCATCCTATCCATTAGCCACTGTATGAAATCTCACATGAGACTCCTTCACAGTCATATGCTTCAAAGTGTACTCGAGCAATGGACTACCAGCTTTCCTTCAGCATAACGTAATGTATCCCTTACAACACCACCCTGTGCATATCCTGTCCATACACACGTAATTTAACTCCTTTGCTGACCTGCATTTGCTAACATTTTGTGGCTAGCTGCTTGTCTTAAAAATGTAAGAGTGCATCTAACCCTTATTATTCCTGTGAATGCTAATAAATATATTAAATAATCCTTGCATTTAATATAGCACCTTATCATGTCATTATGATAAGTACTTCACAGGATATACTGTAAAGTAGTTGACTGTATTTTGTGGATGAATGTGTTAAAAATTCTCTCATCTTATATAAGCAAACCAAAACTCATTGTATGACGCACCAAACACACAGGAATCATCAAAAAATATCAAAAGCATCTCTCATTCATTATCGTAGCAATTTCATGCAAACTTCAAAGAATTTAATTGAAGTGATAATGAATGCCAATGAAATAGACTTAACAAAGAATTTATTTAAAGCGCCCCAAGACAGTTTTAAATAAGTTGCAATTCTGCATTGAACACAACAGAATACTTGTGATCAGATTATATTTCATTAGTGGAATCAGTCATAGTTATTGAATAAACTGAAGTAATTTACTAAAGCAATTTTGTTTCCTTCCTTATTTGATCAAATATGTTATAATGTGTGTCATGCAATGAATTTACTGGTCAAAATGATCATTGAAGGCATTTTTCAAATTCTGAAATAAATTTGGAAATATCCTTGTAGTCATATTAGTAAGCAATTGTCTTCCTAATGCATGTGAAGAGGGAAATTGCTTACATCAAGCAATGTTATTTTATTTTCTGGACAAGTGATACACAGNAAAAACTAAAATGAGTTGTTTGCCAAACGACAAAGTCTGGAGCAAAGTGCTTGTCTATTATAGAAACTGTGTGTTCTGTTCCTTGTCTGGAGCCTTGCCTGTCAATGGTGTTAAATCTCAGTAAGATATATTTTCTTGCATCCCTTTTCTTGTTCTGTGTTGGCATCACTGGTTGTCTTCATTTTCTTCATTCTTGAGAAAAAATGAAGTATTTCTTGTTATGTGTTACGTGAACGTGTGCCCTGATGAATTACTTTATTTAACTCTAGGAAGAGGAGTACCTCATGGTGTGTGTCCTGAACAAAGTGGTAAAACTGATGCACTAACAGAGAGGAGGGCACACTGGGATGGAATAACAGAAAGAAGTGCACTTTGGGGTGCAATAACAGAAAAGAGTGCGCACTTGGATGGCCTAACAGAAAGCAGTGCACAAGTGGATGTATTAATAGAAAGTCGAATACACACGGATGAATTAATAGAAAGCAGTGTACGCTGGGATGACAAGCATGAGACATCTCAGCTCGCACACGACACTGTACTAAGTTGTGATGTTGTGCCTAACAGACGCTCGGTGCCCACTAGCCGTGATAATTTACCTTGCACAGTACCAGATACACCAGAGAAGGTAAATGCAGAAATGGCACGTAAGTCTACCTTCAGAAGTCCAAAGGTAGAAGATATGCACAAGGAGAACGATTTAGGTGAGAAATCAGGGAAACATTACAGTTGCCATTGCTCAATTCTATGATGAGATTAGGTCTTGTGCAATATCTGATAGCACACTCAGTCCCATCCATTGAGAAAATATCAGGAGGACCAAGAACAAAGATGAAAAGTTTATCTATATTTATTGTGCTTGATACTGTTTTTTGACATACCCACAACAACAGCACTAATTACTGGGGGAATCCATATCTTTGTTCTTTATGGATGTTGCTTTCAGCGTTCCATAAAAAAGATAAAATAATGTGCAAGAGATGGTGTATAGAATATTCTGGCACCCATCTGGTAAGATCCATTTCATTTGCAATGAGTTTTGCCATATCAACATTCAATTGCAATGTAAAATTCGCCAGTTTTAACCAACAAAATGCTTCTTCATAGAAGGGTCACCAGAATTCTATTCTCCTCTCAGTTCCACCATTGAGAGCATTTGCTATTTGGAAGAGAGGTGATCTCATTAACTGTTCTCAATGGTTTGTGCTTAATGTTGAATGGGATCAATTATAATTTCTTGCACCACTTCATTCTCTTTATTCCAACTGAGTTCATTTGGCATTTTATCTAAGGGATCTTCAATGACTTTGACAAGTTGACATGTTTGACTTGACGCACCGGATTGCTTGAAAGAGAGCTTGAATACTGTAACCATCTGAAGTCCTTTATCAGAGCCAGATTAAGAATTTTCAGGGCCCTGAGCACATTTGTATACTTACCACATTTCTATGCCACATCAACTTCATCTTTGAGGTGCTGTTTGGTTGGAGCTCAGGTCTTGCAAGTCCATGTGACTTAGAGGGGATGAATGGAAACTCGGTTTCTTTGGGCTTTTACAGCATTTGCACAGTTTGACTGGGTTTGAAAATAGCAGTAAAATCTCTTTTACAGCTTGCAAGCACTGAAACTGCCATTCAGATTGAGTTAGGCCAGTATCTCCTGAACACAATGCAATACAAATTTATATGTATTTAGTGCCTTTCACGTCGGATTGACATCCCAAGGCACTGGACAGTCTAAGGTTTGTACCCGAGCTGGGGGTGGTGGCTGAAGGGGTGGGAGACAAAGGGGAAAGATGGCCAAAAAGCAGAGTCAGAGAGGAAGGTCTTGAGATGGACGTTGAAGGAGGTGAGTCTAACAAACTCGGGCAAGAAATTCCAGAGGGTGGGGCTGTTGAGCTGAAAGCAGGTGGAGGGGATACACTTAAAGCAGGCCGGTGCCCATTGTATATTTACTTGGAAGCTTTTCTCTGTGGTGCAAATAATAATTCTATTACTCAGCAATGGGGTAATTTACTAAGGTGTTAATACCCTAAACGGGAGCCTCCCACAGATGAAGTAGAGCACTGCACTGATTTAAATTTGCTCTCACTTGTGTGAAACACACTTTTGTAATTCATGAGCACTCTATGGATGGTTGCATTCCACAACCACGTGTGTTAACCTACATCTATTTGCATTGTATTCTGAGTTGATGCATTTTAATTCATTTTTACTTTTTGAAGGTGTTTTCTTTTTTTCAAAAAAAATCTCTCTGCACTACATTGTATTCCCTAGGAGTGAGCACGTGACTTGGTCCCAGATTCTGCTGTTGACACTGTAATTGTCCAGTAGGAGTTAAGTGAGAGTGTCCCTTGGCGTCTCACTTAGTTATACTCCATAATTTGCCAAGAACTGTCGGCTTCAGCTTGGCTCTTATCAATGTCGCTGCTCACGACTATTTCATGTCGCACAATATATCGTGGCCTCTGCCATTTTTTTATTTCCCAGTCTCAACTTTAGGTCCTGTTTGATTCTCAAATAGTCAAATTCTCAAATAGTCTCCTGGTGGCTATGTATTAATGCTCCGTATAGTTATGTGGAGCTGTTAGATGGCTAGTGGGGGAAATTCCATCTGGATCTTGATTTTTTTATTTATGTAGTGTTTCAGAGCATCCAGAATTTTGAAAATTGTTGAAATCGCTTTTAACTTTGAGGTCGGGTTTCTGTAATTCTTAAGAGAAGGGTCAGAAAACCGGCTTCAAAATTTAGGCTGCATTTAAGATTTTGCCAAATTATGGATTCTCTGCAATGATACATAAATAGTATAAATATAGACCTGCAGAATCCCTCCCCATAAAATGTTTTATGTTTCTATAGCATATCACCAGATTTTAAAATGGTCAAAATATTCCTGGTCCAATGCACAAAAAGTCTATTATTCTAAAAAGGTCCAAGCTGCTGGAGTCCAAAATTACTCCCCAAATCTCCCCCTTCCTGCCCCTTCCCCAACCCTCCTTCCCAATCCTTCCCTCCTCCTCTCTTGTGTTTCCTTTATCCACCAGACTATTGGAAGATTTACAAAATGTTCCTAATAGTAAAAATTGTATTCAAATATATGAGTTATAAAGTGGAACTATTAATGAGTGTGAATGTACTGACTCTTCAAACAGTTTCTCCAGACCCACCTTATGGGATCACAGTTCTTGAAAGTGTCCGTAACTCTATGGTCCTGGGATGGAAGGAACCCAAATTCCATGGAGGTTCTGAAATCACTGGCTACTTTGTGGATTACTGTGAAGTCATTGATGGCATCTGTAGCAAGTGGCACGAAGGCCACATCAAAGCCATAAGTGAACGGGCATACAGGGTAGGTTGTTTTGTTGAAGTACCATCTAGTTTGTAAAATATAACAGCAGTCAGTGTGACTCTTAATATGTCTGGGTGTGAATGCAATATCTATAACATTTCTCCTTCAATTCTTGACCTTGTTATTTGCTTCTCCCAGATTGAGAACCTAAAGGAAAACATGGTGTATCAGTTCCAAGTGCGTGCATCCAATGTGGCTGGGGTTGGTCTACCATCTCTGCCGAGTGACAAGTTCAAGTGTGAGGAGTGGACCATTGCTGTTCCAGGCAAGTCTAATAATTCTTTTTGACACGCTACCTACTTTCAGGTGCAAGATCAGGATTAGAAATGCTCTTTACATAAACGGAAACAATGTGCTCCACTGGCTCCAAAATATACATACTGAATATCACACTTGCTTTATACCAAAATAATCCTTATGATTAAGCCATTTCCATATAATACTATACACATTCACTTGTTGTTCCCTAAATAAAAGCAAACTCTACAGTTAGTGCAAAAGAGCCAACATTACTTTAAGAGTTAAAGTCCCATATAAATATTGAAAGGACAACAGGCATCCAAATATTTGCCTAGGTTTGAGATAGACGGACACTTGAGGCAACTTTTGTTCCTGTACGCAACCAATGTGACTGATGGCAAACAACATTGTCACAATACTTTATATATTTATATATTTTAAATTTGTAACAATACCAATTTGAGCACACTTCGCAGGACATGAGAGGGACCACTGCTCACCAGATGTGACAAATTTTATACATAATGAGATTCCCCATTACCTCTAATGTTGTTCCATGGAGGAGGATGAGAAACAACATGTAGCAGTTCCACATTATTAGCTCACTGATAGCATCGACAAAACATCAGCCAGGACTCCAGTGAAAAATTGCTCCCACCAAGAGTATTGCAATAACATTGTTTTCAAACAACAACAACAAGATTACATTTGTATAGCGCCTTTCACGTCGGGAGGACATCCCAAGGTCCTGTAAGGGTTCAAAGCAGCTAATGATGTGCATCAGACTTCTTTGGATCTCTTGAAATCACAACTGGTGCCTAATAAAATCCATTTGTTTACAAGTAGGAATATTAGTACAATGGGTTAGTATATTTACCTCTATAACCTTAGTTAGAAGGATTGTTACATAGTCCACACTGACACTCCAATCCAGTACTGTGGGACTGCAACATTGTCTTTCAGATGAGACTTGAAAAACAAGGTACCATCTGCCTGTTCAGGTGGACGTTAAAACCATATGGTGACATTCAAAAAGAGAAAGGATTTTCTCCCTCTGGCTTGACCAACAATTCTTTTGCTGTTTATGGGATTTACATTTCACAAATTCACCTACAAATACGGTCACAATGCTTTACAGAAAATGTTGTGAAGCACTTTGTGACATTCTCAGCATTATAGGCATTGTATCAAATGCAACGATTATTATTATAATTATTTTACAACATGGATGTAATGTTTCAACAGTGAAATATATTATGACTATTTTCTTTTTATTTGCAAATGGCTAATAATGGTGCATTGAAGGCAAAAGTGGTAATGTTCACAAAATATAAGTTTAGTAAGTAACAGAAAATAATTGATTTTATCTCAACCACCTTTTTGGTACTGCATTCTCTGCATAAGCACTGTCAATCCTGCACCATGAGAAATATATTTTATACAGGAATACATAGGAAATTGTGAAAATGATAAAGTCATTTGGCCCATTAACTATTTCACAAACTGTTACAGGACCACCCCATGATCTCAAGTGCTCTGAGATTAGGGATAGCTCTCTGGTACTCCTCTGGAAACCTCCAGTGTATGTGGGTCGCAGTGAGGTCACTGGTTACTATGCTGACATTCGGAAAGCAGATGCAGATGAAGAGGATTGGAGAAGTGTTAACGAAAAAGCAACGGCAAACAAATACATCAAGGTAATAAATGAATTAAACACTATTCAGTAAAATATTTTATTGAAACATCAGTGCAATACAGATAAAAAATCATTCACTTTATAGCTGTTTGTGAGACATGACTATACCCAAATTTGCTACCACATTTGCCTAAACATTTAAACTTTTCAGAAAATTCTATGAAGCATTTGGGAGATGTTTCAATGCAATAAGACGTTATATCAAATGCAAGGATTATTATTACCATTTTCCAGATGTCAGAAGCACAAGGCAAAATTGTCATTATCAACCTTTGCATGAAATTTAGAAAATGGTTTATAATATTGATATTGTCATCTTAAACTGTACACCAATAGCATCAATTGTTAATTAAACATACATAAATAACTAGTTAAATTTGCACTAATAGTTAAAAATACACAAATAAATGGTTAAATGTACACTAAACACTGACTACATTTAAACTAATAATTAGTTAAGCTTACTTTAATAACTACTTGCATTTACAAAAATGAATAGTTAAGATAATCACTAATAAATAATTGATTCTATTTTCCCATTGTAAACATGGAATTGAAAGGGTTGCTAATTTTAGCAGTTGGTATATAATAAAATCTAGCATCAGTATGACCTTTACAGAGGACATTTTTATACTGACAGCCTGTGTTGAGCTTTATTTGCACATTGAATCTTTCTCGTATTCATTGTTGAAATATATGAAAAAAGGGAAGAGATGATCTGTTAAATATCTTTGAAAAACTCACCAAAATGCTAACATTGCCAACAGGTTACAGGTCTGGAACACGGCATGAATTACATCTTCCGCTTGCGAGCTATGAACACGGCAGGTGTTGGAAAGCCATCTGACAGCACAGAGCCAATTACTGCAGAAACACGCCCAGGTTTGTTCTGTCCATGTGTAGAAACAATTAAATGTGTCAGAGTGACTTCTCAGATAGTAGCAATCTTGTCGCTGGGTTACAAGGTTGGGGATTCAAGCTTCACTTAGGATTTTGAGCACAATGCAATGTTGAAGATGCAGGGTTAGCAATCAGTATCAGAACCGTGGCTGAATTGCTTCCCAGTTAGACCCAAGGAATCTTAAGTACCAGTCTCCGATGCTGGAGTTGAAAGTGTAGGCTGACCCCATTATAATGGGCCCTGGTTATAGCATGGGCGTACTGTGGTACATTTCTGGCTTCCGGCACTGGATCACCTGCCGCCGGTGTCACGTCCTGCGTACTATGCACGCATACTCTGAAAAGGAGGTCAGCACAGAAAGCAAGTGAAGTCAATAAGACTTTGTGCACATCATGTGCAAAGCACAGAAAATAACATCAGCAGCAAGCTCAGTGGCCATTTTTTAGTGCACCTTGTTTATAAAGCAGAGTTGAGTTTATGGACTCAAATCACTTGGTTATAATTGGTTGGCCTGTGGATACTGGATGAAGACAGGATTGGGGTCAGCTGCAAACCTGACGATACTCACTGCCACGCTTAACATTCTCATACAATAACGGGCTCTTGGACAAGGTACAGAGAGTTGTCCGTAGAAGCAAAACCTTGTAGAAACAGAAAGGAATCTGATGGGAGAGGAGTACAACAAAATCACTGTATTGAGATACATGAAAAGAAGACCTATCAAAAGATCACACAAGAGGATTGGATGAAAAAAGGCCCTTTGAAAAAGTCTGATCTCAACCTTCCTGAATACCCACCCTGTCCTCCTCCCATCACAGCACTAAGCATTATATGTTCAACATCCTGGCCTCAACTACTCTAATTTTTAACCTATGCTATAATATACTTTGGTGCATTTCATGCTGACCCTGTGTACAAACAGTGAATATGTCCTATGCTTTCTCAATGATTTTGCTCACCTTGAGGAGCATGAACATTCACAAAACCATATATAATTACGCTAGAAACCTTTCTGCCTATGTTTATTCCTCAGGAACCAAGGAGATGATTGTCGATGTAGATGATGATGGAATTATATCGTTGATCTTTGAATGTGCTGACGCAGGTCAAGATTCCAAGTTCATTTGGTCCAAAAATTATGAAAGCCTTATTGATTCATCAAGAGTTTCCATGGAGACCAAAGGCGGAAAGTAATGATATTTTTATATCGTTAAGATGTAATGCAGACCTTTCAGTCTGTCCAATTCCTTTAGGGCAACCCCTTTTGTTGCTAGGTTCAAATGAAGTCAGGAATGCAGTTAAGTACAACAAAATCACTGTATTGAGATACTTGAAAAGAAGAATAGCAGAGCGAAACGTATTACAGGTAATCACTACATGTGTGTATACTAGATGAAGACAGGATTGGGGTCAGCTGCAAACCTGACGATACTCACTGCCATGCTTAACATTCTCATACAATAACGGGCTCTTGTACAAGGTGAATACCTGTGAATATAGGGTCCATTCTGAATCTAGTCAGACAAGACAGCATAACTCAAACCTATACTTCAATCAAAATTTGTAAGCAGCTCTGTGAGTTAGCAAAAGACTCAGAACCAGAAATTTCAGGGTTGGAATCCCAGTGGGTTCACTCAATAGTATCTATTATGGGGAAAGAATAGGAAATTGGCATTAAACTGGTGAGCCCCTTCGCAATACCAAGGCAGTGCTTATCTTCTGGCCTTAAACCAAAATCTCAATCAAGCCGCAAATTATCACTTTCTCTAAATTGTTGATAAGAGCTCGAGAGAGAGAGAGAGAGAGAGACTAGAGGTTGACAGCTCATCATCCTCAGAGAGATTAGAGTTGCACAAACCTAACTCCATCCTAATTCCAAACATTAAGCCACCCTGCAAACTGTCAGTCCAGCATCCCCTTCAAAGATTATTTCCATCCCCAAAGGTAATTTCCAAAGGTCTATTGCTAGGGAGTTGGGGCAAGAAGGGCTCAGTTGTAAAACAACACTGGATCTCCTGAGATTTGAGAGTCACCAGTAATAGAGTGGTGATGCTCTAATCATCAGAAAAATCTACCAACTTTAGCTGTGTGATCTTATAATGGGATTTTCACACCTGGAAGAAATGTGCAGGGAATGTATTATTCAACAGCAGATTTATTCAGTGTAGAAATACATTCAAGGCTTCTGTTTCCGACACAGGACAAGAATGATTTTCAATGACCCAGGGAAGGATGATCTGGGCATTTACTCCTGTGTTGTCACGGAAACTGATGGAGCTTCTTCCAGCTACACCATAGATGAAGCCGGTACGTTAGATTTACAGTATATATTTGAATCTATCCACAGTAACAGTCTAATGTATAGGAAATATGTGAAAAGCAACTGAAAGGTTTAAAAAGTGATGTTATGTGCTCTGGTCTACGTGATGAATATTCTATCCAGTCCTTTTTATTGCAAAACTGGCAACAATTGTTATGGATTGCTTTGTAGAGAAGTGATGGAACCTGTAGGGGACTACTGCTGTGCTCTTGTAATAGCATCAATGGCATTAGGCTATCAGTAGACCCCTGGTGTAGATAGCTCCATATGCTCCATATGCTCCAGCCCTTTACAAACTAATACTTTTTTTTACAAGAATGCCATTCATTTCAACACTGGCTTTGTAGACAGTGAATATAACGTATGATGGAACAGACTATGGGTGGTCTTTGGAAGGAATGGGTTTGATGCGCTGGAAGTTTTTTCTGTCAATCCATACTTATAATATTAATAATCCTTGCACTTTTCTCATCTTCTATCTTTGTGTCCTTCTGTAGAATGATATAGATATTTACACACAATTCTGTGCATGATGCTTCTCTTTGAGCAAATTATTGTTTCTGTATTCACGTTTGGTAGGTCTTTAAAATTATGAGGAGTTTTGATCAAGTCAGTAGGGAGAAATCATTTCCACTGACTCTCGGTGATTCAATAACTGGGAGGGCATCGATTCAAGATACAAATGTTTTCATGCACAGAGTAGTTAGGATATGGAAGGGCTGACAGGAGTAGAGGTTGAAGAATCCATATTGGCTTTTAAGAGGCAACTAGACAAATACCTTAAAGAGTCAGCAACAGGAGTATGCGAAAATGGCAGGTAAATGGGAGTTAAAGGATTGCTCTTCAGGGAGCCGGCACAGACACAATGGGTGGAACGACCTTCTTCTGTGACGTAAATTTTTATGGTAAATAAATATGATAAAATCTTTTCATTAAAAATGGAAATGAATAGATTTTAAGGAAGGAGTCACTTGCAGTATTCAACTCACAGTTATGCTTCTTTCAAATCTTTTGTGTATAGTTTATGATGCCTAATCCTCTCAGTAGATGTACTTTATTCTGCCCTCATTAGTTTAGATAATTTGACATCTAGAGAGGAAATCTACAACATTCACGTTACTTTGTCAACAGTTAATGTTTTGAGTCTCTAATTCTCTTGCAGAACTGCTGCGTCTGTTGGAAATTAGTCACGATCACAAATTCCCAGGTATGTATTCTAAACATTATTACAGCCTGAGGTTGTGCTGTACAATCGTTTCATTGCATGTTATAATTGTTAGATGTAAAGTAACATTTGACAGTCACACTTTATCATCTCACTTGTGTTGACAGTTGTACCTCTGAAGTCAGAACTAGCAGTTGAACTGCTGGAAAAAGGACAAGTGCGCTTCTGGTTGGAGGCTGAGAGACTCTCTGGCAATGCAAAGTGTAAATTTATATTTAACGACAAGGAGATCTCAAATGATGAGGTACGTTATTATTACTGTTATTATGATTCTTTTTGATCAACTGGATATCTAGACACTGACGAAACCCATGTAATTGTGTTGGTCGGTTCCTTACTTGCCCCCATGGGTTGTTAATGGGAAATTCCCTCATAAATGCACATCACCAAGGATGGTAACTTTGCAAGTGAGTAGAAATGTGCCTTTCATGTTTCAAATCTATCTGGTATTGCGTGATGCTGATCACTTTGTCACCACTGGGTGACTGGAGTTAACCAATTAAAAATGTTACAACTATTACCAAAAGGGCCTTTACACCAACCTTTTAAGATTCATTCTTCCCAATTCTATCTTGCATGATTATTTTACAGCCATTTGTCATTGTGCATAAAGCACTTTCTCAGCCAGAGGAGTAGCCAAAGGCAAGTGCTGGAGAATGGGGAGATGGATCGAAAATCCACCTAGGTCTAGATTTGCACAATTTCATCATTTCAGAATGTACAGAATTTGTCAAGTTCTTAAATGCAAACTTCAATTTTGAAGTGTTTTTCTGTAAATTCATTTAAAAACAATTTCATAGTCAAACCATTTCCAGAATTTGCCAATTTGCCAAAGAATATTGCCCACTCTGAGATGTTACATTAATGGAGTAAACCTAGATCCAGGTGGAATTTTGCCCCACCAGACTCTTTGAGCAACTCCCCACACAACCTCAACTAAATACCTAAAGAAGCTACCAAACAAATGGGAAATGTTTCTGCATAAAGAGGGGAAAGAAAATCAACAAATTAGTTACATTTGGAACTTCCTAGCAGAACAGCACTGGTAAAGCCTTGAGACCAGTTCACCTTCTTCTCCTTGGCTTGAAAATGGTTGATAGATATGTGTGGATCGTAAAATGATGGGAAGTGTTTCATTTAAAAATAAAGCAAAACTTCCATTTGATTTTCAGAAATACAAAATAAAAGTAGATCAAAAGACTGGTTTATTGGAAATGTTTATGGAGAAATTGGAGGACATAGATGAAGGAACTTTCACTGTGCAGCTCCAGGATGGGAAAGCAAGTAACCAATCCAGTCTGGTTCTGATTGGAGACCGTAAGTCACTCTGCTGCCATTTCTCTTATTGAACACAAATGACTTTGACAATAAAAAGACCAGTCTAGGGTAACTCTTTTATACAGTACTGGGGGAGCGCTGCATTGTCAGAGATGCCGTCCTTCAGACGAGACATTAAACCACAGTCTCTTCAACTTGTTCAAGATCACATGACTTTATTCAAAAAGAGAAGACTGTTTCTCCCAGTACAGTTCTCCAACTAAGTTGGTTGTTTGCCTGATGTCCAGCACTCTGAGACGTTATCCTACAGGAAAGGTGTAAAATAAATGCAAGTTGTTGTTGTATGTCTCTTTACGGGACTTGCTTTGAGCAAATTGGCAGGCGCCTTTGCCTGAAAATTTACAGTCACTTCACTTGACAACAATCGGCTGTGAAACACTTTGAGATATTTAGACATTTTAGCACTGTATCAGATGCAAAGATTATTATAATAAGGAAAAGCAGTTGAGTTGTACAATAATTCTGAGTGCTACAAAATGTTATAGAGACTGATTATAGATTCATAACGTTTTACAGCTTTTCCCCTTTTTCTTTAGTGTTTAAGAATTTGCAGAATGAAGCAGAATTCCAGAGGAAAGAGTGGCTGAGGAAACAAGGTAATGGTTGTGTATACTGGATGGGAAATCCCATTTTAAACCAGGCTCCCTAAGAATCAGCAAACAATAGTGTGCATTATACTCCTACATCAGCTCATATGATCCACTGTATCAAATGATAAAATTAATGACTTTACATTGTAAACTAATAGCGAACCTTTGATTCAATCAGAATAAAGGAAAATACCCTTTTAAAGACGCAGCTAAGAAACAGAAAAGATTCTCAACTCGTATTATCGCCTGTCAAAACCAATGCAAACTTACTGCTTGTGAAGCCACTTGGAACAATATTACAGATATAAAATGAGATAAAGTAGAATATTATGGAGTACAATGACACACCAGTGGTACTGACTTTCGACCAAACTATTATAACAGTGCTTAATCTGAGATTGGCAACTCAACAGAGGACCAAGAGGATCAAGTTGTATCTGACCACTAAATGTGGTTCTTATAAACAGTGGAATTTCCAATATGCCCTGCACAAAGCTCCCTTTGGGTGCAGTTTCACTTATTGGAAAATAAGCATGTAACTACTACAGCTTACCTGTTAGGGCTTTTGCTGGTAGAATTAAAGACATGTCTCTAGATATCAGTCATTACTGATGACCTGCTTTGGCTTCACGAACAGTGTCTCTCTCTTAAGAGCCGGTCTTCAATTCAACAACAAGATTCCATTTATAGAGCGCCTTTCACGTCGGGAGGACGTCCCAAGGCGCTGGACAGTTGGGTCAGGACCCGAGCAGGGGGGAAATGGTCAGGGTGAGGGGAGGGAAGGGAGGGAGCGAGAAGGAGGTAGAGAGTCGAGAGGGGAGCTGAAGGCACGGTCAAAGAGAAAGGTTTTGAGACCGGCCTTGAAGGAGGAAAGGGAGGGAGCAAGGCGAAGGCACTGGGGGATGGAGTTCCAGAGCCTAGGGGCTGAGAGGCTGAAGGCCCGGCCACCGATGGTAGGGCGGTTGGGGCGGGGGATGTGGAGCAGACAGGAGCCAGAGGAACGGAGGGTACGGGCAGGTAGGTAGGGGGATAGTAGGTCGGAGAGGTAGGAGGGAGCAAGGCCGTGAATGGCCTTGTAGGTGAGGATGAGGATCTTGAATTCAATCCTCTGGGTTATGGGAAGCTAGTGTATGCGAGCGAGGGTGGAAGTGATGTGGTCCCGAAGCCTGGTGCGGGACAGTACATGAGCTGCAGAGTTCTGAATGACCTGCAGCTTGTGGAGGGAGGTGCCGGGAAGGCCGGCGAGGAGAGAGTTCCCATAGTCCAGCTTTGAGGTGACAAAGGCGTGGACCAGAGTTTCAGCAGCGTGAGGGGTGAGGTAGTGCCGTAGTTTGGCGATGTTTTGGAGGTGATGGAAGGCGGTGCCAGTTGTGGTGCGGATATGAGGGAGAAAGGACAGCTCAGGGTCGAACAGAACGCCGAGGTTCCTGACTGGCTTTGAGAGGTGGAGAGTGCAGCCTTGGATGCTGATGCTGTCAGCGGTTGAGGTGCGGAGGCGCTGACGTGAGCCAATCAGGAGGGCCTCAGTTTTGCGCACGTTGAGCTGAAGAAAGTTGTCTCTCGTCCAGCACTCGATGTCGGACAGGCAGGCTGTCAGGACATCGGTGGTCGTGGAGTTGAGGGTAGAGGAGGAAAGGTAGAGTTGGGTGTCATCCACATACATGTGGAAGTTAACCCCATGTCTGTGGATGACGTCACCAAGGGGGAGCATATAGAGGGTGAAGAGGAGGGGACCCAGGACAGAGCCCTGAGGGACACCGCATTTCAGTACAATTCATTAAGAAAGTAAACTGATGCAAAACATTTCCTCAATGATTAGTTGAGAAATATACAATTTGATAGGTGAATTTCAGCTCTACATCTTGTACCATCAAGCTGTTCATTTGCTTTGTGATTGGTAATGATAACTGTTCTGTGCCAACAGGTCCTCATTTTGTTGAGTATGTTGGATGGGAAGTTACTAGTGACTGCAATGTACTTTTGAAATGCAAGGTAAAAACAACAGTTTGGCTTTTAATTCTATAGAGACCTATTGGTAAGTGGCTGCAATTTGTCTCCCCAAAAACTGAATTCATGGGACATTGCTGTGCTCAAATTAGCTGTCGGATTGGCCTACAAAACATATGGTCACTACACTACAGTAAAATCATGTGAATTATTTTGAGACATTTCAATGATGTGATAAGATGCTATATCAAATGCCATGATTATCATTACTATTACGTATTTATAATCGAATTTCTCATTGCAAACATGGAATAAAGTGATCACTATTGTTTACGATCAGCCTATGATTGACCCCAAGGTTTCTATAAACTGGTCTAATTTCTAAACAGACAATTACACAGAAAATTTATGTCCCATAGCTGTGGACAATCCCAACAGAATCACTATAGTTTTAAAATTTATAATGCAATTAAAGAACTCAAACATTCTATGTAACTTACTACAGTGTATGTTATAATAGTGGAACCATGGAAAGCTTTGTTAATAGCTGTCAGTTAGTAACCAGTTGAATATACACCTAAGAAGAAAAAATAACTCATCTTTTTATTGAGGTTCCTTCTAACAATTGTAGCATTCCTCGTGTCCTGTTGCTAGAAAAATACACCTTACAGGGTAAACTCCATCTTCAAGAAATATCGCCCTGACTCACAAGACGTTTGACAAAGTCACCCTGAGATGGCCTGATTTCAATCACACCACTGGGCTCGATACCATACGTGAGGTATTCAGCTCAAGTTTTAGAACAGACAGTGCTATTCCTATACCTTTCCACCAGCTGATCCATGGAACAACTATAGAAAAGGACATGAAGTACTTCTCCATCTTCTCTGGCTTAAGCCAAAATACCTCCTAAAAAGAGGGAGTTATTTGACAATCAGCCAGTTAAATAACAACAACAACAAGATTCCATTTATAAAGCGCCTTTCACGTCAGGAGGACGTCCCAAGGCGCTGCACAGTTGGGTCATGACCCGAGCAAGGGGGGAAATGGTCAGGGTGAGGGGAGGGAAGGGAGGGAGCGAGGAGGGGGGAAATGGTCAGGGTGAGGGGAGGGAAGGGAGGGAGCGAGGAGTGGGAAGAGAGTAGCGGGAGAGATGCAGAGGGGGGAGGGTTTGGGGGGAGAGAGGAGGGGGGAGGGAGGGAGGGGGTGAGGGGGCTCGGGTCAAAGCAACCTTAATTCAGAAGTCATTAAGTCTATATCTTGTAGCAATAGTTAACGATATTAATAAATAAAAATGTGCTGTATTTTCTTTTTCATTTAGGTGGCTAATATTAAGAAAGAGACAACTATTATCTGGTACAAAGATGACAGAGAGATCATGTTTGATGATAAGCATGACTTCAAGGATGGTGTGTGCACTTTGTTGATTCAACAGGTAAAGAGCTGAATGATGTGTCACAAGAGTTGATTTCTACATGTTTGGGAATCAATATTGCAACTTCACTTGTCAGCTTGTGTCAGTTAGTCGCACTCCTATTCCGGGTCAGAAAGCCTCATTTTGGGACTTTATTTAAGAGTCTATAGTGACACTCCTGTGCAGTATTTAGGGAGTGCTGCATTGTTGGAGGTAAAGTTAATTTACATTTTAACTGCGATCCTTTTTGTATGCTCACTTGATATTAAACGATCCCATGAGATCTCACCAAGAGAAGGGAGCTTCTCTCAATACCCTGCTCAACAATTGTTTTGATTAATTGCCAATTCTTATTATGGCTCTTTATAAGACAACATCACCAATGAAGCATTGTTCAACACTTGCTGATGTCTAACACTCTTAAATTCATATTCTTTGATAGTTTTCGAAGAAGGATGCCGGCATGTATGAGATTGTGTTAAAGGATGACCGAGGAAGAGATTCAAGCACACTCCGACTTCTTGACAAAGGTATGGTGTCTGGCAGACATTTATAATAATTCTCCTCTAGTGGAGTCCTGTAGCTCAGTGGTTAGAGCGCTCACCTCACAAGCGAGTGACCTGGGTTCGATTCCCGGCAGGGTGAAACCTTGGGCAAGTTTCCTTACTCTACACAACTGATAATAATCCCTCAAGAAAAAAAATAATAAGTTGGTCCCTTCAATCCATGACTGTTTTGGGGGCACTGCTGTGCACAATTGGCTGCCACGTTTCACCCACAAATATACAGTCAATTCACTTTACAGTATATTCTGTGAAGCGTTTTGATAGGTCTCAAAGACGTGAATAGTGCTATATCAAATGCAAGGATTATTTTTTTTCTCCAATACTATCACTCACCCACAAAACATGCAGTCATTACACTTTACAATATATCCCTGCAGCACTTTCAGACATCCTTCCCATATGAAAAGTGCTATAACAAATGTAAAGAATATTACTTCTGTTATCTCAATGATGTCATAAGATGCTATAACAAATACAAGGATTATTATTTTATTATTACCTCTGAGCTTCAAACAAGTGCATTTTTTTAAATTAGTCCCCTCAAGCGTAAAAATTAGATTTTTAATTAAACAACATTAATTAAGTTCATATTTTTTAATATGGCAGCCAACGAGCACGCAGGAAGTGAGCAGCACAAACACTGAATGAGAAATGCAGACCAGTTATTGAGGCCCCATTAAAATCTGGGTTGAGATTTTATGGATCCTCAAGGACTGCCTTATAACAGGGTTCAACTGTGTGTTCTGAAGGTACTATAAGGAAGACAATTAATACAGAGAATAAGATAGGGCAGAGAACAAATTGCTATATCTAAATCAGATGAAGTGCATCAATCAATAGGATGTCACTGTGGCTTTGACATTTTAAGGTAATATTGTAACTATGGTCATAAAAATATGATTGTAACTGTAAAAAGGATAACTGTTACTTGGAAAGTCCATTCAATTACATTGTTATTCTGAATTTTACAGAGTTCAGTGAAGTGATCTGCGAAGTCTGCCGAATGGCTGGTAAGTGTTATCTGAAGAATGTCTTCTATGTATTCATAGCATCTTTGTAATATTTAAAATAGTTCAGAGCTGAATGTAGAGACTTAGTGTTTTTTTAATCAATGTTACAGCTCAGACTGCAACAGAGGTGAAGGTGCAGAGTACGGAACATGGTATCAGACTCTATTCATTTTTGAATTACTTCCTGGAAGACTTGAAGATCATCTGGTACCACAAGTAAGAAACTGCTTTCTTCAGGATTTTAAAATGCATCCAAAAACTAATTTTGGAAGCGCTAAAGCATAGGATCTGTATGAATGTTTAATTTCCCCTTCCATTACAGATTTTCCAAGGTTAGGGTCCCAACTATAAATTTTATGTAAAAGAATACACAGATGCATTTTGATCAGAAAAGCATCCAGGTCATTAGGGAACCATCCCTTGGTAATAAGAAGCCCCCTCCATCATTCTAAAGTTGTCACTAGAAGCTGATAGAAACTCAGAAGCTTAAGATGTAACTGTCAGCCTGGCTCACTTGGTAACACTCTTGCCTCTGAGTCAGGAGTTTGTGGGTTCAAACCCCAGCTCCAGATCAGGGTATTGAACTCCCAATGAGGTTGGCACAGAACTGCATTGTTGTAGGTACGTCCTATGGATGAGATGTTAAACAGAGGTCCCATCTACCTGTTCAGTTCGATGTTGATAAACATAACAGGCACAAAACTCCATCTAATAGCCAGTAGGACTATTTTGTGTTAAGATTGCCCAGCATTGTAGAAAATTAGGTCCAGTTGCAACTTGGAGACTTCACAAATTTCACAAATTTAAAAAGTTGGCAGCATGATTTCATGCTTTCACATAATGGGAAATTTTAGCCAAAGTTTATGTGCCAAAACAGAACTGGCAAAGAAATGTGCTAAATGTCTTTCTTTTTTTCAAATTGAGCTTGAATGGCTCCATTTATTGTTTCGCCAATTTGAAATAGGGTTCGTAATACATTTCACTCAATATTAATAGAGTTACATAGAGTGATTCAAAGTGACTTAGAACTAGCTTTGTTGGCCAGTTACAAATAAAGTCTCTGAATATCTTACTCACTGTTTTCCTGCTGAGATTTCCTGAAATCTTTTCTTCAGCGAGATAAGAAGAGAGGTCATTGTTTCATGCCTGTAAATAAAAATGTTTAAGTGGCATTCCGTTAACACTACAAAGTGAAAAGCGATTTTAGTTTTAGTGTGTTTTAAACTCTTCGCTGTTTCTCTCCAGAGAAACAAAACTTGCTTCCACAGAGAGAGTAAAGAATGGTGTGACTGGAGAACAGCTTTGGCTACAGATCAATGAGCCCACTGAGAAGGATCAGGGCACATACACGCTTGAACTCTTTGATGGAAAGACAGGGCACAAAAAGTTAGTTGATCTGTCTGGGAAAGGTAAGAAGAGAGATCTGATGACTCATTCTACTTCGATCTGTATCCATAATCCCATCAAATATTAATGTAAAACTCCACTGTGACGCATCCATACATTGATAATGACTGACTTTTTAACTGAACTAAATATTCAGACTAAAGCTGCTATCTTGCCAAAGGCAACAATCAAAATCTGTCAACTGGAATTTAAACCCAACTTCATGGGCACCAGTACTGAGAAGGTGGGTCATTCCTCCACCTTCACTACTGCATAATAACTAATTCATACATTATGAATTTCTGAATTCCAAACGCTTGTTAGACCTCATTTTTGCTGCTGTATTCCAGCATGATTAATGAAGGCCTATCCAATTTGGTTCATTGCGTAAGAGAGTACTTATCAGTAAACTTACCATTCTTGATGGTCTGTACTTGCAATGGTAAATTCCCAGAACAGCCAGAGGTATTTTTTCCTCATTTAGGAAAGAACCTCTAACCCCCTTCCCAGCAACAGTCGCAGGTTAAGACTTGCTGTGTGCAGAATCCCAGACACTCACACATTATGGCTCAGACATTGATGCAGCAGCACAGTACTGCATTGTACCACCATTATTCTGTAATTAGACGAGGAGGGTAACCTGAGTCTCTGAACCATTGCAATCTGGCAATAGCAGTAAAGCAAACTTATTATAATAATAACAATAAAACTTGATTGTTTTGGTAACAATGGGGTTGAAAATCTGGTCATGACAAATCAGAACTCACTGTACTAATAGAAGCTCACAATGAAATCGTAAGATGCATTTGGTTTAAAAAAGAGAAAAAAAAATCACAATCACCAAACATGGCTTTCTGATGTTTTGATTTCTGAGTTTTCTGTCAGACTTTCGAGCCTTTTCTTGGAAGCAGCTCGAAAGTCAAAACTCTGCATTTTCAACCTCAATGTAATTGTTAAATCAGCTGTTCCACATTAACCATAACATTTTGTCTCTTTCCTCTAAAGCATTCGATGAAGCCTTTGCAGAATTCCAGAGGCTGAAGTAAGTAGGCAGATTTTATCAATTGTTTCTTATCAACAGCAGCAGTAAGTTTAATAATCACTGCATTGCAAGCAATAACATTTGAGAAAGAAATTGCAACATTTACAGATGTTCATTTTGGAGGAAATATAATTATTTACTATTAGTGGCATTGGTCACCATTACGACAAATGGGCTCAAAAAGCATTTGTCAGGAAAATGGGAGAAAAGTAGAAAAGCAATTCAGCGCATAAAGTCGTATCTAGAGTCTGTCATAGTAACCCATGAGAATGCAGCTCTGATGAGATCTGGGTCAGAGCAGAGTTCTTGTGATCAACATTTTTTTATGGGGTTCTGTGGAGCAGATGCACTTTATACCCCCAGGCGAGGTGTCATGTTATCCTATAAAGAACATGATAAAATCATCTGGAATACAGCCCTAAAGATTTCCTTTCATAGGGTTAAATAAAATGCTATTTCATAATTAATGATGAGTTTCAACACTTATTCAGTCAAAAAGAAACAGTGACTTCATTACATCACTTACTCTCCAATTTCACAGCCATTTTATAGACTTGTATTTTAAATCACACAAAATGTTAAAACAAATTTGTTTCTATGGTGTCACATTTGTGATGATATGAAATGATCTCCTTTGTTCCCAGACCCTGTTGTGCTCGAAACAGAAATATACTTGATCTTCATGATTGGATTGAAATTATAGCTAGGTCTAGATTTACTCTATGTTGCATTTTAATAGGGTACAGAATTTGACAAATTCTTGAATGCAGCTTTAATGTTGAAGCCACTTTCTTTTAAGTTGCTTTGAAAAACTACAAAAAAACAACTTCAAAGACTAAATTGTTAAATTCTGAGTGCTCTGAAATGCTATACAGATAAATATATCTCTCCACATATGTTTAGTTAAATCAAGAAGAAGTTATGTTATATTGGATCAGCACATTTTTGAAAATGAAAATATGGTTTTAATTGGTTCTCTCTCTGACATTTTAATAAACAGGCAAGCTGCAATTGCAGAAAGAAGTGAGTATTATTTTGTCACAAGTGTTATATATTTTAAAGTCAGATTGCTTTTATGTAAAAAAAACTGTTTTAAACATCAAATATTGGAAACTGATTGATGTCTGTTAATAACCAGAATTTCAGGAGTGAATAAATCACTCTTTTCTCTCGATTCCCAATCTCCCAGCACAATGTATATCTGTTATATTATATTTTATGTTATATTATATATTATTAATAATATTATTATTATTATGTATATCTGTAGCTGAAGTGATGGCCAGCTGACCTGGTCCCAGCCTTCTGTTAGTGCCCCTCTGAGCTGGTTACTGGGGGTATGTCAGAGGTCCCTGAGGACAACTCTCTCTGTGCTTCCTGTTCTCTTTTTGCATATCAGTGCAAGGATTATTATTATAATTATTGTGTCTTTTTTTTCCAATTAGACCGTGCTCGTGTTATCGGGGGTCTGCCTGATGTTGTTACAATCCAGGAAGGAAAGGTAAATCTGCAACATGTGCTCCTGTTTGTCCATGTTTGGGGTTGTCTTTGAAGCAAATTAAATGTGATCTTTGCAAGAACTAAGGATTCTGCCAAACAAATACTGAACATCTTTTGCAGTAATATATACAGATTTCACTTTTTCAATGACCTTTGTATTATAAGAAAGGGTGGACTGAGAAAAGCCAATTGACCCTAAAGTCCATTCTTTAACTGACCATACATTATTCAATTTCAAGATCCTCTCATTTGTGTTCAAATCCCTTCATGCCCTCACACCTCCCTACTTATCTGATCTGCCTAGCCCCCAATCCACCATCCACTGCCTCTGTTCGGTTGGTTCCAGCCTCCTGTTTGTCCCTCTTCCCCATCGGTTGCCATGCCTTCAGCCACTATGCCCCGAAACTCTGAAACCCTCTCCTTCAGTTCCCCCGCCTTGCCCCCTCCATCCCCACTTTCAAATCCCGCCTAAAGACCTTCCTTTTTGATCGTGCTTAAAGTCACCTCCCCCCTCCCTCTCCCACTGGCTCAGTGTCAGACTCCGCCACTGTCAAGCGCTCTGGGACGCTTGAAGGACGCAATATAAATCAAGTTGTTGTTATTACTCCGTTAATGGCTCTCACCTTCAGTGATCCCCTAAGGCCCTGAATCATATAGCCCTTTGCAGACAGCAGTGGTAATGAAGAAGAGCTGTACTATCCCTAGAGCCTTCAATCCTCATTAAAAAATGAATCAAACTTTATCTTAAAGTTTAAAGTAAAGAGGCTTCCCAGGGCACTGGGACATCAAATATTGTAATCTAGAGATACAGAATTCCCACAGCTAAATTGAGCTACAGATTGGAATATTAATTTGAAACATGTACATGTTCATATTTTTTCTCATGTCTGTTGAGAACAATTTGTTGAATAATGTGTCGAATTTTGCTTTATTTAGTCACTTAATCTTACTTGCAATATCTGGGGAGATCCCGTTCCTTCGGTCTCTTGGCTGAAAAATGATAAGGAACTGCTGGGAGACGCTCACCTCATCCTGAAGTTTGAAGCTGGAAAGTTCGCTACCTTCACCATCACTGAAGTCGGAAACACAGACTCCGGCAAATACAGCATTCTGGTGAAAAACAAGTATGGGACGGAGACTGGCGACTTCACTGTAAGTGTGTTCATGCCAGAGGAGGAAGAGGAGAAAGTGAAAGTGGACACTAAAAAGGCAGCAAAGAAAAAATGAGGCGATTGTTGAGAGGAAACTTGATAGAAAACAGGCTCAAGCTAACATATATATTATCAGCAGTGTGTAACTTTTTGCTGTGGAGGTTAGTTTAATTTCTACTTGAAGAAACGGCGAATATGAGGGGAACGATTCTCAGGCGGCAATTTTAAAGACTTTCAATGGCTGTGCTTTACTACTCACCGAGTGCATCTGAAAATTATAACTTAGAGAAGTAGAAATATTGTTAGATTAAACGTTAGCTGACCATTTTCTTTCTGTCTCCCCCAATTAATCTCAATGTGAGCACTGAACAACACTACGCTGTAATGATTATAGAGTCCCATTTGATACACTAATAAATGGTGCACATATCCTTCACGTTTACCTCCAGCTTGTTCCACTGTTTCTTCTTCTTATTCACTCACTCACCACCTCTTTTCCAGGTAACTTGTCCAGGTATCTTGTCTTTAAACTTGCAACGTCTCCTATTCAGTTGAGCCTTGTCTATTGAGATTAATATTTCCTTTCACACAGTCAGGCATGTACTGGAGTGGGTTTCAATGTGCTCTTCACTTTGGGGAGACTTTGGCAACTGATGCCCTTTGTTACACAATCATCCTTAGAACATCATTGTGAAATCTATATCCGGGTAATAATAATAATAATAATACTCCTTGTATTTGATATAGCGCCTTATCACGTCTTTAAGACGTCTCAAAGCGCTTCACAGAATATACTGTAAAGTGAATTGACTGTATATTTTGCGGGCAAAATGCGGGAGCCAATTGCGCACAGCAATTGGAAATGAAAAGCTGCAGCATAATACTAAGCTATCACTTTTGCCATCCTTGTCCAAACCTCAATGATTTATAAGTTCAGTGGCCCATTATGTCCCAGGTATTAAACTGATACCTGGAGCAAGCTTAATAGCAACACTCCCGAGTACCTTTACAAATTACCCAAAACTATGTACAGCCATAAGTAATTTATTACATGAAAGGTGCACAGTGGTAATAATAATACTTATATTTGATAGAGCACTTTGCACATCAGGAAGACATCTCAATGCGCTTCACAGGATTTTCTACAAAGCGTAGTGACTGTGTACTTTGCAGGTAAAGATTGCATCCAATATGCACACAACAATGTCACACAAACAGCCCCAAAGATAATTATACATAGTGATTAGATGTTCATTTATTTTAGATGTCAGTATTAGATTATCACAAATGCCCAAAAGAGACGTTGCAATTTTAACCTATTCAGCATGCGGCAGCAATGATTCATGACCATATTGGTTAACTCACCATTTTAACCCTCTGTGTATAAACCCAATCTCCAAGGCATTTTGGTGTCGATTTTAAATTGATACTTTATAGTTACCAATTCACCAACCAGTGGAAAAAGTATGTTTACCATCAGCCCTGTAGTGGTGGATGTTACAGCTTTAAAAGCTCAACAAACAATTGGCAGGTGTCATATTTCCTCACCTGGTGACTATTGTCAAATCTTTGCTGCTCTCCTATTGCTGATTGTTGATTCCTCCAAGCCTGAAACGCACAAGCTTCTTTACTGTGTGAACATCACTGAATTCACTGTCTTTGTGGATTTAGAAACACTTATATGGCACTTTCAATCCTTTTACTAATAACAATTTTATTGTTAACAAAGCAACTTATCTTTCCACACTTGATTGATTCACGAAATATTGGTCTGAAAATAATATTAGACAAGAGTTAGAAAAATAACTTATGGGAAGTGGGTCATTTTTTAGTATATCTCTTATTTTGATTTATATAACTCGGGCCAGTGTGATAGTCATTTGTGAAAGATAGACATTAATTTTTAACAGTCATAATAAGTAATATTTACATAACATACTTGATTTTGGTCAAATCTAGATACCTTTAGAGGTGTGAGTTAATTGCAAATATTGTGGCCTAGTTTTGTGGTATGAACCAGGAAGAATTATTCAAGAGTCTTAGTGTCACTTATAAATCAATTATAAAATTGTAATTGACTTTTACATTTACAATGCAAAGTATTGAAAGCTGCCACTTAATGGCATGCTAACCCACAGGAACTCTGCTCTAATGTGAAATGCCTCCCAACACACAGGGGAGTGGAGTTCCTATTAGATGCCCTTTTTGATGTGCACAGGAACAGGTTTGTACAATTCACTGAAAGTAGCAGAATAACGTTTAGTCCATATCAACAAATAACGTTGCAAGACGGATCCGAAACAGAGTAAGTTCCATTGTTTAGCTCCATCTGGAACAATCTGTGGTTATTTATATGTTTGAACCCACAACTTGCTGACTCAGAGGGAAGAGTGCTCTCAACGGAGCCAGACTGGCAACACCGTGATTCAAGACTTGTGATTCAAGAAAAAAAACAATTTATTGATAGTATTTACAAGGTAAGTCAATGAAAATGTTTATGTTACTGAATTGGACTTGTGTATTTCATTCAGTGATTTTTGATTCCTTACCTGAAGAATTATTTGTACAGTAGCTTCTTCACTAAGGGAAATGTGAAGTGAATAATATCCTAGAGATACCAGTAATGCTTACTTGTACAACCACTATCAGATAACATATTCTAAAGCATTATAGAAGCATAATAAAATCTTATGCCAGATTTATCAATACGTAAACAAGGTAAAACTAGCAGCTGGTAGCAAAAAGCAAACTGATGAGCAACAACTCTGGGAGACATTTATGATATCGCAAGAGAGGTTTGAATGAATGGCCCTTTGGCCCATGTGATCATATCTTTCCAGAATAAGCACTCTTATTCTGTCTTCTCAGTACAGTCTAATATCCTGGCTTCAATCATTTTCCTGATATCCCTTTCCAACTGTTGATTTTACTGTAAAGAAATACTTTTTTGTGTCTCCCCAATTTTCCCTTCACAAATTTGAACTTGTGCCCTCTTCCTGCTAGCTTGACAGTTGCCAATTATCTGAGCATGTTGTAATGTCTTGGGACTGTTCACTCTCTGCCTCTCTCTACTTCTCTCTCTCGAGTTGTTTCTATGTTTCTTTCTCTCTCATTCTGTCGCTTTCTATCTATGTGTGTTTGTCACTTTCTCATTCTTTCTCTCTCTCAAGTGACTAAATATTAACCGAGCTATATTGAAGTTATACACAATCACCACAATTGCAGTGAGGCAGTTTCCTGCGAGAGATAAGGGATGTGTTAGTTCAAACACATCTCCAAAACGTTAGTTTCAATGTCTCAGAGTCTTTGCAAAACATTTGGTCAGTTCGTTTAATGGATTATTTTATTGTCAGCTGGGTGTCTGACGAAAAGATCACTGTGTTTAAGAGTATCCAAACCAAATTGAGACTTCCACACACGCATGCCATCTGTGCATGAAAATTTCCCTATATCTGGAATGAAATGCATCCAGCTAACCTAATACCATAAAGTATTAGATGCAGGTTGGCGACAGCCAAGACTTGGGGACCCCAGAGTGTGTGTTGAGGTACTGTTAACGTTGAGCCAGCTAAAAACGCCTAGCTTGCCATTGAGGCGCTGTCTGGTTTATAGACGAGGACCGAAGCAACAAAGTTACTTTTAAAGGCCCAGAGAACTGATGACTTGTTCTTTGAAGTGCAATATTTATATTTTCAGCAGCTCAATTTTTTTAAAAAAATAGCTTCTAAAGAACATAATATCAGCTGTAGTGCTGGTCGCTCTTGTAGGGAGAAGTTGTCAGATTGCTTTCCATGTGTAATGGAATTGCCTTCCCAGCCATTAGGAAGCCAGCCAAGATCAAGTGCATCCCAGGTATCATTACACTGATGTGTTCCAGGACCTTTGAGATGTGAAGTGCAGTAATACGTTGCATTCCATTGTGGGCAACCTTGCACCTCCTTCCAACACACTGAATTTGCTCCAAAAGGTGTTTTAAGATGTTACTTTACCAATTTCATCATGTAACAACAGCAAGGCAACATCCCGTCTCTGTTCTTGGTAGATCATTTTGTAAGGAGCAGTAAATTCTTCAGTCATTTTAAATGTCACTCTCTGCAATTTGACATTTCAAGTGCTAAAACAGACATTAAACCCATTCATTCCTTTCCCAAGCCAACTGTCCTGGGGACTTGCAAACCTTTCTCGACTGAAAATGTTTAGGCTGAACAACTGAGAACAAAGTCACAGAGTGAGAGCTGCTCTTAACATTATTAAACTGCAGCATGTGCTTTTGCTATATTCGAATCAATGCCTACAATCTAACACTTGCAGATAGGGCTCATATATATGTCAATTGGTTTAACAGCTGTCCTATTCATTTGCTAGCACAGTATATTTCATACTCATTAATCAACTGGAAGGAACAGGCCACACTTGAAAATCTGCTTATCAGGCAGAAGTGCACTGTAACACAATCGGTTTCCCATCGCTTCATACAGCGGAGGGGAAAAAAAGAACTTGATATCATCAGAAAGTTATGCTTTCATAAATCTGTCAGAGGCTTTGCCTTTTGAGTGTTTCGGGGTAATTTTGTCATGTGGGTGGCCACCCACATGATATCACAACAATAATCTTTTCATTTGATACAGCTCCTTTCATGTTGGGAAGACATCTCAAAACCCTTTACAGGATATACCATATAGTGTAGTCCTATAGCTCAGTGGTTAGAGCACTCGCTTTGCAAGTGAGAGACCTGAGTTCAATTCCAGGCAGGGCGAAACCTTGGGAAGCTTCCTTACTCCACACGCCTAATAATAATCCCTCCAAAATAAAAAACAATAATAAATTGGTCATTTTCAATCCATGACTGTTTGTGGGACATTGCTGTGCGCAATTGGCTGCCGCGTTCACCCACAAATATACAGTCAATTTACTTTACAGTATATTCTGTGAAGTGCTTTGGGACGTCTAGAAGATGTGAAAAGCGCTATATCAAATGTAAGGATTATGTGGAGTCCTGTAGCTCAGTGGTTACGCACTCGCTTTGCAAGTGAGAGACCTGAGTTCAATTCCAGGCAGGGCGAAACCTTGGGCAAGTTTCCTTACTCCACACGCCTAATAATAATTCCTCCAAAACCAAAAACAATAATAAATTGTTCACTTTTAATCTACGACTGTTTGTGGGACATTACTGTGCGCAATTGGCTGCCGCGTTCGCCCACAAATATACAGTCAAGTCACCATACAGTGTGTTCTTTGAAGCGCTTTGGGACGTCTTCCCGATGTGAAAAGCGCTATATCAAATGCAAGGATTATTATTATTATTATTATTAGTGACTGTGTATTTTGCAGGCAAATGCCATTTTAAACCCAGCAATGTCCTGCAAACAGCCATGAAGTGAAAGACCAAATTTGGTTGGTCAGAACAACCAAGGTCCTATCTGCCTGTTCAGGTGGACGTTT